GCTTTTTTATACAACATAGGCCCACCTGCCCATGGGTGCTGCCATACCCACAGAGGGCTGGGCCCTCCCATATCACTCAGTAATCAAGAAGATGCCCCACAGTCATGACCACATGCCAGTCCAATGGAAGCAATTCACCAAGTGACACTCCCTCTACCCAGGTGTGTCAAGTTGTCACTAAAGCTATCTAGCACACTTGTGTATCCTCTTTGCACTGTGCCCACAACAGCCATGGTCCTTCATCTGCAAAGGTGTCAGAAGAATGTGACCCAGCCAGGATTCTTCTCCTAAGACAGAGACAGAGGCTTTCAGGTTTATCCAAGTCAGAATTATTCCAGTGGGATCCCAGGCCTCCGTCCCACACCCTATCACATCTCCCCACAAAAGGTCTGAGAGGGCCTGGCTCCATGAGGTAACTCCGTCGCACCTGTTTTCATTCTTAGCTGAAAACCTGTGTGGTCTGTGAAGCCCTGTCCTCCTCCAGGACTGGCCCAGAGCGGGATGGGGTTTCCAAAGTAGAGGCAGCACTGAAGATGCCACTGTGGCTCTACCTGCTCACTGTAGTCCAGAAGCCTTTGGGGTGCTCATCCCCTGGGCATCTTGGAAACAGATGTGCCACTGAGCAGCCAGAAGACTGCCTGTGTCACATGTGTGAGAAACCTGTTTTGCCAAATGTTAATTTTAGCACCACTCTGGCCGGGCTAATGCCAGAGGGCAGTGTTAGGCTGCCATCCTCAAACTTCATCCTATAGCAGGACCCAAGGGCAAGAGAGAGCAGAGGGCACTGACCTTGGGCTCCTATGCAGTGTCCAGAACACACTCGAAGCTTTGTTTTGTTTTAGCTTCTCCTCTTTTCTCTTTCCTTTCCTTTCCTCCTCTTTCTTGTCTTTCCTGCTCCTCTTCCTTTAAATTTTTTACATTTATTTTGTGTGTGTGTGTGTGTGTGTGTGTGTAAGTGATGGGGCATGGGCTTGAGTGCCATGGTGCAAATGTAGAAGTCAAAGGACAACTCTTGCAAGTGCAGGAGCCAGTTCTCTTTCCACTATCTGGGTGTTGGAGACCAAACTTGGATCATCAGATTTGGCTGCAAGTGCCTTTACCCAATGAGCCATCTCACTGCCCCAGAATTGTTTCTTTGGCCTGTCATTGGTATGCCATGTGAGGTGAACAGGCATGAGTTTATGTCTCCCCAGGAAAAGTAAGGAACACAACAGAACTCTTTCTAAAATATAACTTCATCACAAGCATTCAATCTCTGCCGTGGGGGTTTCTCTACCTTTGCACTGCTGTCTCTAGCTCAGGAGGAGCTCGTAGTTGGTGATTTCACAGAATTCCTCAGAACTTGGTGGACTCATACTTGTCTGCGGCTCCCCAAGGACAGACCCTCATGACTACATGTCTGAGGAGGACAAGTCCTGCCTGAGCTCTGCCAGACCACCTCAGTTACCCCTGAGGCCCTGTTGGCTAGTAGGGTTGATAGACAGGTGACAGCCATCTGCTAACACAGCAAGTGGGTACTCGGAATGGGTATGGAGCTTCTGGGAGCTCTAATGAATCTGCTACTGGGGAGAGAAGACAGAGCATGGGCCAGTGTCAGGAACATTTGAGCCGCACCCCTGAAGATTGAATGGGATTTACAGGTGGACAGAGGATGTTCACGGTGGGGGTAAGGCCTTAAAGACATAGAAGTCACAGCATATAGAGGACAGTGTGAAAAATGAGAGAGAGAGAGAGAGAGAGAGAGAGAGCACAAGAGAGAATCTTTCACTCTTTTACCCTTTTCTGGCTTCTTATTGATGTCCTTCTCTAGCCTGTCCCCTCCTTCTGGCTCACAACTCCTGCATTGCACCCCACAATTGCTGCCTGTTCCCTTATAAGCTCCCTGCTTTGAACTTGTTCTGTACAAAAAGTTGCCTTTGAATCTGTTCTTCCTAAGCCTGTCTCAGGCTTGGCCTCCAGAGGGACAGATACTCGATCCAGCCCACGTCTGATGCGGGGCACTGCACTGGGAGCAGCTGCAAGGGTGGCGTTGACTCCAGATGGAAAGTGTTTGGAGAATTCTAACGTGACATCACACAACCCGATACTGCACAGGGTGTGCTGCGCTTCTCAGATGCCGAATGAGGCCATTCTCAGCCCAGCTAGCTCAGATCAAGGGACTTTGACTTGTTGGGGGTGGGTGGGGGTGGTGTCTAGAACCAAAGGGTAGCCCCAGGAAAGGCCTTCTGGGTGTCCAGACCTGCACTGAGACCATCTTGGATGTAAACTGGTACTCTTCATCTGTTCCCAGGGAAGGGCCTGCACTGATGCCACTGTCTGGAGTGAGGCCCAGTGTGGCCACTCTGGGCTCTCCTACTCAGCCCAGAGTCCTGTTATCGCTCCTCTCTCAGTCAGGCCTCTATTTCCAAAGGGTTGCTGCTGCTCTGCCATGTGGCCTTCTACAGCCCAGTCCCAGGCCTGTTAAGCCCTGTTGAGCCAGGTGAAGAGCTGGGGTTGCCCCAGCCGTAGGCTGGAGGATGAAAGGGGAGCCCTGTCACAGCTGACATGGTCCTCCTGGGCCCTGGCCCAGGGCTTGTCTTCAAGGCACCATCTGTCACCATGAGAGCTGATCAGGGACAGAAGGCTGGCAGGGGGGATCAGAGGGCAGAGCTGGAGGGAAGTCACAGGAGCCTGCAGAATGGTTTGTGTGATATCTCCCTTGGCCCCTCTCCTGCCACCTTCACCCGCCTGGGCAGCTTGGCACTTGCACTGAAGGGTAAGAGTGAGGAGTGGTCAGCTCCCAGCTCAAGTTGGCTTCCACTGACCTGACGTCCAAGAGTGTTGTCTTCTGGGGAAGCCAGAGGGCACAGCCAGATGGTCTCCAGCCCAGGCAAGCATCCAGTTCCAGGCATCACCACAGTCACTGCTGAGCCATAGACATGAGTTTGGAACTGGGCATCAGGCCACAGGACAGGTTGCTTGGGGTTGGCAGCCTCACTGGCTCTCTGCCCCCTCCCTGAGAGCTGGGCATCCTCAGAATACAGAGGTGGACAGGGCAGGGACTCCTCTGGTGAGGACACATCCCTAGCAGGGCACAGCCCTTGGGTCAGGAACATGCCCACACAGGCTAGGAAACAGAAGGGGTTACCTGTGTCCTCAGCAGGCCATTCCTGAAATCTTCCACTTTAGAAAGGGTCAGGAAGATGGAGAGAGGAGAGTAGAGGAAGGTCAGGGAATTGGAGAACCAGAAGGAAATGGGGTAAGAGGAAGGTCTGGAGAAGAAAGAAGACAGCATGAGAGGGGAAGGGGGAAGAAGAGTAGGGTGGACTCTAAAGGAAGACAAGACAGAAGCTTCCCTTCTGCCATTGGCCGGAGGTTCAGGGTTGGTATGAGAACCGAGGTTTCAGAATCTTGCTCTCATCCATATGACCCAAAAGTTGCCCATCCCCCAAACACAATAACATATTTCCATAGTCTTTTAATAGTCTCTTAACTGTGGGTGGGCTTCTATAAAATCAACAAGTACTGTTTTATTTCAAAGGGAAGAATTGGGCACACCTAAGCAAAACCAAAGTCCAGCAAAGTAGCTCGAGGCTGGACATCTGGGATTCACTCATAATCTTCTGGGCTCCAAAGGGTACTGCAGCTCCACTGCTCTGACTCTGCAGTCCACAGCACACACAGCTTGTCTTGCAGACCCAGGCCAGCTCCATTCCACACCTACTGCTGTCCTTGGTGGTCGTCCCATGGTCCCAGCATCTCCAAAAAGCTGGGGTCTCCACTGAAACTGAGGCTACACCCTCACCAATGGCCTCTTCTTGCCCCTTGGAGTGCAAAACCAGATTCTCTCCATGACCCCTTCAATCCAGGGGTCTTCACTGCAACTGATGCTGCACTTTCACCTATGGCCTTTCCTGGCCTCTCAGAGTGCCAAGCCTCAGCTGCTGTCTGTGATCCCTTCACGCTTTCAGCACCAGAACCATGCAGGAGACTCTTACACATTACCACGTCCTGCTTCCAGCTTGAGATAGAGGCTCAGGTCCCCTCTGTGTGCTGACCCTGAGGAAATACCTCCCAGAAGACTCCACCACAGTGATGCTGGTCTCTTACTACTTACAGCTGATTTTTCAGGCCCAGCTAAGCAGCATCAGTTGTCCCAGTAAAGCAAAGGTTTTACTTCAAATTCTGGTCTCTTCTTAATCACAGCTGATTCTTCAGCCCCAGACGACCAGAACCCACAGATTCTCAATTCAAAAGAATTCTAAAGAAACAGCTTAGCTCACATGATAGAGTCCGAGTAGTCCAACAATGGCTGCACCACACTGGAGAGGCTGAGAATCTGTAGTCGCTCAGTCCACAAGGCTGGATGTCTCAGTAGTCCCAATCTGGTGCTGAAGGTCTGACAAATTCCAAAAGATCAGCTAGTCTTCAGTCTACAGCAGCAAGATGAACTCACTAGCGAGAGAGAAGGCAGGCAGCAAGAAGGAAGTGTTCTCTTCTGCCGTGGCCTTTATACAGCTGCCATCAGCAGGTAACACCCACGTTTAGTGTGTCTTCCGGCTTCAGATGATCCACTCAAGAAGGTCTCTCTCATTTCAGTTAATCCCAGATCCAGTCAAGTTGACCCCTAGGATTAGCCATCACACTGTACCAGTTATTCTTCTGTTGCTGTGATAAAACACCATGACCAAGGGAACTTATAGAAGGAAGAGTTTATTTGAGCTTATGGTTCCAGAGGAGTTAGAGTCCAACATGGCGGGGAGGCTTGGTGGCAGGAGGTGGCTGGAGCAGGAGCAGAAAGCAGAGGTTCACATCTTCAAACAGGCACAGGAAGCAGAGAGTGCCTGGAAATCCCACAAGGCTTAAGAACTCTCAAAGCTGGCCCCCAGTGAGGAGCTTCCTTCAGCATGGCCATACCTCCTAAAGCCTCCCAAAACAGTGTCACCACTGGGGACAAAAATGTCCAAATTTTGTCCTATGGGGAACATTTTCATTCAAACTACCACATGATCTGAGTTAGATTCCTGGGACCCACAAGATGGAAGGAAAGAATCAGTTCCCATAAGTCGTCCTCTGACTTCCACATGCGCACTGTGACACCCCCCCCCCACATACATATGCACACAAGCATGTGTCATGTCCTGTTACCTGAGGTGTTTTCAGTGACCCACCCATTTATCAATTTCCTCCTGTGATACTTTAAAGATGTCTACAAACTCTTTGACACTTCTTGCAGAAGGTAGTAGCTAACAGCACTCCTCCTGAGTCTGGGCTGCACTTAGTGACTCACTCCTAATGGATAGAAAGAAGAGTGGAAGTGTGTGACTTCTAAGAGGAGGTCATAAAAGGCAGTGTAGCTCGTTCCTTTCTCTCTCTTGGATCACTTGCTCTGGGTGTGCCAGTCACTATGTCATGAGACATATCAGCAGCCATTCCAGGAGGGAGGGGCAGGACCCAGACCTTCCGCCTTCAGATGACTGAAGCCCCTGCTGACATCTGGACTGTACCTCACAACAGACCCCCAAGCCAGCCCTTTCATTTCCCCCCGTTAAATCACTCAAATTTCTGGCCTTAGAGAAACTTCCACAGAAGAAAAATTTATTGTTTCAAGCCACCAAGTCATGGGTAATCTGCTGTGCAGTCAGGGCTGGCGCTATGGTGAAGCAAATAGTGTGCCTAGGGCACACGGAGGAGAAGTTCACTTTCAGGGTTGCAGAAGCCTGGGGTCGAGCTGGTGAGATGGCTTACTGGGTGAAAAGCACTTGTCACCAAGTCTGATGACCTGGGTGCAATTCCCAGGTCCCGCATGGTAGAAAGAGAGAACCGACTCTTGCAAGTTGTCTTCTAACCTGCATACATGTCCTGTGCCACATGTGTATGCATACACAGGCAGACAGACAGACAGACACACACACACACATACACACCCACGTAAATAAATAATAAATAAAAATGCTTTAATTTAAAAAGGTCAGGATTGGATCATGGCCATAAGTGTGTGTGTGTGTGTGTGTGTGTGTGTGTGTGTGTGTGTGTGTATGTGTATGTGTGTGTGTGTGTATCTTTAAATGTGCCCTCCGCTCCTCACCCACCTCATCTTAGTCTTGCCCCCTTGGTATGGGAGGAGTTATACCTCCACACCCCTTTTCCTCTCCCCAACACTCTCTGTCTTGATTCCCAATGTTCTGAAGAAGCTGGCTGTGGTGGTTGAGTAAGTGTCCCCCATATGCTTCAAATATTTGAATACTCAGCCCCAGTTGGTGGCTCTGCCTTGGGGGAACTGCTTGTGGAAGATTAGGCGGTGCCATCTTGCTGGAGGAAGCAGGTCACTGGGGGCAGGCTTTGAGAGTTCATGAGCCTCCTTTCCACTTCCATCCAGTTGGTCTCTCTGCTTCCTGTGCCTGCTTGAACTACTCAGCTTTCTGTTCTGGCTGCCTCTTGCCATGACTCCCCACCATGATGGACTCATCCCTCTGTATCCTAAGCCAAATAAACTCTTCCTTCTATAAGTTGCCTTGGTCATGTTTGTTTTTCGTCTTTTTTAAGTCCAGCCACAGAAAAGTAACTAATATACTGACTCCATCCAACCAAGCCAGTTAGGACTTCTCTCTCTATTACCCTCTGTGATTAGGTCCATTGGGCCATGTGACCCAATCCTGTCCAATCAAAATAGATATTGAGCCTTTGCTAGAACAATCACAGGCAGACAAATGGTACAGATATCCTATTTTTCGGATATGAACGATTGTAAGCTTCAGGCAGCCCCTTGGGACCTCCCAGGGGACCTTGTTTGGGGGTAAAGGAAATAGCGGGAAACAAAGCGGCACAGTCTTTGGGGATTCCATTCAGAGGCTTGATTAATACCTACCTGGAGCCTACCTCATCTTGGGGCGCCTCAGTCCAGTAAGCTAAGCATTTTCCTTTTAAAATTTAAACCAGTTTGGGTCTGGTTTTAGGTTACAAGGCAAAGAAAAGCACAAATGTGATGTTAAACCCACAGAGGAGACCCCCATCACTTACTCACACAGATGCTGCCAAGCATACAGCTGCTCCACACTGTGCAGAGTGAGTATCCAGATGTTCTCTTACGCTGCTCTTGTTTCAGCCAGATGTTTAGCATCTTGGAGACGGGAGGTTAACATGATTTAATGTTCAAACGCATACACCCTTCCCTCTCTGCTGCTTCCCTCTGGATCTGGTGCCTGCCTGCCCCTAGCCGCTCCCAGGTTGTCATGCCCTGCTCTCTCCTGTGCCTGCTTCCTGGAACAGGTGTTAAGTTTTGTGTTATCCCCTCACTTGTCCCCACTCTCCACAGTTCTCTACAGTTAGCCAGAGAGCCAGCCTGGTAGCTGTGCAATAGCCCGTGTTGCATGAAGAGATGAGCTGGAGCCACAGTTCTTCCTTTGCCTCTCTGAATGAAGCTATCCCAAAGAATCCCTGGTGGAGGCAGGCTGCAGAGCAGAGCTTGGTCCATGGGAGGACGTTAAGCATGCAAAGTTCTGTGGGAGCAGAAATAGGGAAGATAAAAGTGAAAAGAACTGACTGTCCTAGAGCTTAGGGAAAAATAAGACGTCTACAATGATGATAAGATGGAGTTGGCCACAGGAATAGGCAGAAGCCCAGAGAGAGAGAGAGAGAGAGAGAGAGAGAGAGAGAGAGAGAGAGACAGAGACAGAGACAGAGACAGAGACACAGAGAGAGACAGGCAGAGAGAGACAGAGACAGAGAGAGACAGGGAGACAGAGAGTCACTGATAAAGAGATGGGGCACAGGAGTCTGGGGAGATGGCTCAGTGCTGCACAAGCATGAAAACCTGAGTACAAATTCCTAACACCCTGGGTGCCATGTCTTGATCACTGGCTTATATTAAGAAATAAAACCTGACCTGGTAGCATGTGCTTGTAATCCCAGAGTTGGGAGGGGTGGGGGACAGGTAGATTCCTAGAGCTTGCTGGCTAGCCAGGCTAACAGAGACAATGAGCTTCAGGCTCAATGAGAGATCCTTGCCTTGAAAAATAGGATGGAGAGTGATAGAGGAAGGCACCTGGCATCAATCTCTGGTCTCCATACATGGATGCTCACATGCACGCTCTCATATGTTCTCTCTCTCTCTCCCTCTCTCTCTCTCTTTCTCTCTCTCTCTCTCTCTCACACACACACACACACACAGACACACAAACACAGACTAACAAGAGAAGAGACAGAGTATGATTACTTAGGATAGGATGCATTGTACTGTGGATACAACTCCAAACCTTAGTGATAACCTCCCAGGTTTTATTCTTGACCACACATAGTTTGTCCAACACAGATCAGTAGGGAATATTCAAAGTGTGATAATCATGGGAGAACAGTTGACCTAACTTCCACGACTGCAGAGGCAGGAGAAAGAAATTCAGCTAACTGCACATCAGCTCTGAGGCTTCTGTCTAGCGACAACTCACACCCCCTTTCCTTGCAACACACTGGCTGAAGTGAGTCTTGTAGCTGTACCTAAAATTAAAGGGAGGAAGAGACAGGTGATGCCACTGTAGAGACAGAAACAGGAACATATGTGACCAGCCTTATCAACTGTCACAGAGAGCAGAGCTGCCTCATATGCCCCAAGTCAAGATTTCTCGAGGCCCTGACATTCTATGCTCTTGGTTGGGCTCCCATGAGATCCCCCTTATTGACTTACACATGCCTTGCACATTTGTGTGTTGCCACTTGAAGTACCCCTCCACAGACATCTTAATTCATCTGGATGCACCTTTTGCAACTGAGCTCCCTCCCTCAATAGGCCTAATGTCACCTTTGTGTCTCTGTGGGATTTTGTTGTTGTTTTGATGGTGTTGGGGAACCAATGCAGAATTTTACAGATTCTAGGCAAAAGCTCTACCACTGAGCTACATTCCCAGTCATGACTTACTTTCTTTACTATTATTTATTTATTTATTTATTTATTATTGTGTGTGTGAGAGAGAGACAGGGAGAGAGAAGAGAGAGATATCTCTTCTACCACGTGGATTTTGGAGATCAAACTAGGGGCACTGGCTTGGTGGTAAGTGCTTTTACCCACTGAGCCATCTTCCCTCCCTCCCTCCCTCCCTCCCTTTCTCCCTCCCTCCCTCTTCTTCTCCTCTCCACTCCATCTTTTACATCTTCATTGTTTTCAGTCTTCATCATCTCTGCCATCTTTGTCTTTGTTTCCCTTTCTTCCTCCTCTTCCTCTCCCCCTCTTCCTCCTTCTTTGTTTTTGCTTTTATGTAACCCAGCCTGGCTTGGGGCTCCCCATCCTCCAGCTTTAGCCACTCACATACTGGGATTACAGGCTTGTGTAATCCCAGCCCTGTCTCTGTTTTATAATGAAGTGGGTACAGATAGGCCTTCCCCCCTTGAGACTGTCAGAGATGAGCTCTGGAGACTTTATGGGTACACACGAATTCTCCAGATATATATTTTCTAGTGTTTTCTATTTGCCAAGATGTGTGCTAAGAAATTTGTCTGATGCTGGGTGTGGTGGCACACGCCTTTAGTCCCAGCACTTGGGAGGCAGAGGCAGGTGGAGCTCTGTGATTTCGAGGCCAGCCTGGTCTACAAAGTGAGTTCCAGGCCGAAGACCCTGACTCAAAAAGACCAAAAAGGAAAAAAAGAAAATTGCCTGACATGACATACTTCATTTAAAACACTTTCACTTTGGGCTGGAGTGAGATGACTCAGCAGGTAAAGGTGCTGCCTACCAAGCCTGATGACCTCAGTTTGTTCTCTGGGTCCCTCATGGTAGAAGGAGAGAACGTCTCCTACAAGTTATCTTCTGATCTCTACAAGTACTCTGTGGCACATGCATGGACACACACACACACACACACACACACGCACACACAAGTAAATAAATAAATGTGATTTTAAAATTAAAAAAATAAAACCACTTTCATCTTGCTGATGGAAGAACTTGGGCTTAGAGAGCTCAACAACCCGCTGGGGGTGTAACTTCAGTGGCTGTGCCCCTTACATTATAGCACTTAGCCAAAAGAGATGAGTGGTGGTCAACCCTGGGACTGAAGTTCGTCTCTAAGAAGGGAAGGGAAGAGGTGGCTGTAGCCAGGGCAAAGCTTGCCTCTCAGGATTGAGACAGCCTTGGATTTGGGAGAATCAGTCTTAGTTGCATGTCATGTCCACCGGCTGCCCCTTACCTGTTAGAAGAAGGCATGAAGCTGGTCCTTTCGCAGTGCCCGTCTGGGAGACACTGGATCTTCTTTCTTGTTCTATGTGACTTTCTGTTCCAGCAGTCCTTAACTGTCATTGCTGAGTCCCCATAGCCACTGCAAACTCCATCAAGTCCCTCACCCTGAGGCCTTGCTCATTCTGCTGGCTCCCTTTGGGTACCAAGGTCTTCCCTGTGTACAGAGCTGGCACCATGGAGAAAGGCCAAGCTACTTGGGTTCCTGGGGCATGTCTCTCTCAACCCTTCCTCACAGTTTGACCTGCCCAGTTTCTGATGTGACTGCCCCCTTACTCCTGATGTTTGACAACTCTTGGGGCCTGAGGGGAAAGAAGACCTCCCTCTGAGTCCAGGCCCTGTGTACTGCATTCTTCTCAGCACCCCAGTTTCTGAGCAGAATGTTCTTTGTCATCTGTGTGGTGGCTTGGCTGCATCTGTGGCTGTCTGTCCTCAGTTGTAGTGTGCACATCACTTCTCGGGTCCTTCTCCACTTCTACCACTCATCTCCTCCTTCCTCACCCATCCTAAGTTCTGTGTTCCAGCTCCAACATCATCCCCTAAGGGCAGAGATGAGTACCATATCCCAAGACCACGTGGACTATTAAGCAAATCTGCCAGAACCACCTCTTCCCCAGGGAATGAGCATCCCACGGGGACAGAGCACTCTGCCGCGACTGACCTTCAGTGTCCTGTCCCCACAAGCCCTGGCCCTTTCTAATGGGCCATGGCGGCACTCCCCTATACTGATACCTGGCCTTTGCCTGACCTCATGAGCAGGCCTGGGCGCCGGCCTCAGCCTTCGCTGGCTGGCCCGTCCCCGGCCGCCCAAGCCTGGGTTATGACATCTTTCCACTGAGCAGCTCTTATTTTGAGAAGGCAAACCCCGGGGCGCCCACAGGCATGTGCACACGCTAGCACACGCACACACACCCTGTCCAGAACCCTGACGCCGCACGCACTGGCCTTAAAATCTGCCTGGCTGTGTTTATTTTTCTTCCTCTGATTTCCTCTTTGGAACAAACAGCAGTCCTGTAGCCGACCACCCTCTCCTCCCAGCTCCCCAGCCTCCCCCCACTTTTCTCTCCTGTTCTCTGCGCTCAGTTGTGAATGAGAACAGAGTCTGTCTTTTAGCAGCAGCCTGAATGAATTGGTCTCAGCCTCAAAGCCGGCAAGAGAGGAGGGGTGATGAGCGAGCGGCATTTGGGTTTGCTTCTTAAAAGCTCTTTGCACCCCCTGAAGCTTATATTTTTCCATGTGCCTCCCCCCAACCCAGGACCCCTCCTTTTAAAGTTTATTTTTCGGTCCCCCGCATTTTGTTTTCTGTTTTCTACAAGGGAGACAGAATTAGGGCCTCAGAAAAACAAGGCCCGACTGCCAACTGGAAATGTTTGCTCTGGGGGCGAGTTCGGAGGCTGGCGTCAGGCGGGGCAAGATCCGTGCCAGTGGAATGTGATTTGGGGAGGAAGCTGCAGGTCACTCAACTGCTGGCAGCCCGCCCAGGAGCAACTGGATGCTTTCTGGGCTGTGTGTATGCATGAAGACTTTCTTTCCCTTCATGCAAACAGAACCCCAGAGACGTGGAGACAGAAGCATTAGGAAGAAAATAGACAAGGGATTGGAAAACCAGGAGTGGGGTAAAGATGGGTGAGGTGGGGACAGGGGCAAGATCCTGTTAGCCACTTTGGTCAGCACCCACTGAGTCCTCAGCTCACAGAGGGGGTGTATTGGTGAGAGCCAGTGCGATACTGAGACTGAAAAGGAAGTCTTCCAGCACAGAGCACAACAAAGTTTGCCTGTAAGTCCCCACAGAGCAGGATGCATGGTGTTCAGGGAAGGCTTCCTGGAAGAGGTGTTATAAGCAAAACCCAGAAGCATGTGTAGCACTGTGCTAAAAGGCAAGAAGTTAAAGCCCATTGGTGGTTATCATGAGCCAAGCCTTTTCAATCCATGATCTCCTTAGTAGGGCCCTCCCCACCTTCCTTTGTGAGACGGGGTCTCATGTGGCCAAAATTGACCTCACACTCCATATGTAGTCAAGGATGCCTTTGATCTTCTAATTCTCTTGTCTCTACTTCTCAAGTGCTAGGATTATAGGCATGCACGACCATATCTGGTTTATGTGGTGCTGGGGATCATGTTAGGCAAACACTTGACCGACTGAGCTCCATCTCAGCCCTGATCTCCTTAATCTTCATCACAACCCCATTGAGGCTCAGTACTCTTTCGATCCTGATTTGGCAAATTAGGAAACTGAGGCCCAGAGAGATCTGGAAATGTGATTGCTCTCCTAGCTTGTAAGTGGTAAGCCAGAGTTCAACTTAGGGCTGTCTCTCTCCAAAGCCTGAACTCTCTTCCCCACCATTAATGGTCTTTTTGCATACCAGCAAATTTCTTAGGCAAGGGACAGTTCCTTTCCTGATACCCCATTAGTGAACTGTTCAGTTCAAGATGGAGAATGTTGGGGACCTAAGGAACCAGGGTAGCTTCCTAGGGCTCAGTTGATCAAGCATTTGGAGACTAGAGAGATAACTTATCTTCTTTGCCTGTTCCCAGGAGGTGGTGACTGGGACCCTGGGCAATTCTGCTACATTTCCTACCATGTGGGTCCTCTCCTACAGCCTGGCCATCTTACTGGCATCCAACACTCCACCTCACACCCCAGCAAGTGACCTTCCCATGCCAAGTTCTTGGCCACTCAGACCTTTGCTCAGGACCACTCTTTCCTGGGAGTCCTCAGAAGTTATCTGTGTTATTCTGCAAAGTACATGAAACTGAGATGAACTGGTCAGAATGAATCTACCCAGTGCAACCTCTGGAGTCAGGGTCAGGGAATGTGGAGCTCCACTCCTCCAGTGTGATGTCAGGCGAGCCCTTTTCCTTCTCGGGTCTTGGGATCCCCAGTTTTTAAAAAATTTAGTTTTTTAATTAACATTACTTTCTTTAAAATATAACACTATTATGTTTTAAAGAAAGCAATGGGCTTATACTGAGTTCAATATTGTATAACTGCATTAATTCAACAGAGAACCTAAACATTTTACAGCCACTTGTGAAAGAGCTGTATCTTTGCTCTGGAAACTGTGATTGAGCATATTAAAGCTGTAATGATATGCTTCTTCTAAAAAAATAAAAAATAATATTAAAAAATAACACTATTATACTGAAAAACTTTGCACAGGTTGGAGAATTTGGAAAGGGAGTGAATGACAAACTCACATTACAGCAACAGTGATAAATTCTCAGTATTGCTGAAGCTTGGTAGTATAGTTTTGTCCGTAAATAATACTAAAAAAATTATAATAGACATATAGAATTGTGAATTTACATTCTAAAGTAGATATTTTTAGTTTGAGAATTATATCAGTTTAGTTAGTACAGTACTGACTTTTTAAAAAACTTCCCAGAATGTGATTTAAAAAAATTTTATTTATTATTTTTATTTTATGTGTATACGTGTATTGCCTGCATGTATGTAACTGCACCCATCATGCAATGCCCCTGGAGAATAGAAAAGGGCATCGGATTCCCTGGAACTGGAGTTATGGACAGTTGTTAGCCACCATGTGGGAGCTGGGATTCGAACCTAGGTCTTCTGCAAGAATAGCCAGTTCTCTTAGCTGCTGAGCCATCTCTCCAATCCCCCAGAGTGTGATTTTTATCTCTTCAGGTTCAACTAGGTGCTTTACGTTTTCTGTAGGGCATAGGTGATGGCACACTGGGGTTGTAGAAGAGTAATAGAAAAATAACGAAAAACCTCTTGGTGCCTGGGATTGGAAGAGGTCCAACATCAAGGCCTGGATGCCCAGGACCATGTGTGGAGTGAGGACCACAGCTGGCCCTCAGGGGAGGTGGGAAGGCCATTCTAGAGACTCAGTCCTCTAAAGACCAGAATCTGCAAATGACAGGGATATCCCCTGTCCCTAGCATAAGCCCAACACAGAGACAAAGCCACTGCCCTTGTGCAATCTGGGATCTCAGGGGAGGGGGCTGTGGGGAGTGCAGCCACTCAGAGAAGACTGAAACTGCTGCCCAACATCGGGAAGTCCTCCATCCTCTACTTTGCTCCACCATCAGCACACCACCGGAGGAATGTGGAACCATGGCTCATGACTGGAGACCAAATCTCCAGGCTCATGTGAGGGAGGATCCCCAGTTTAAAAATGAAGAGTAGCCAGAATGGTTTTTAAACTACTGCAGACAATATAGTAGAAGTGATCAGTAGCTGTAGTGGGGTCAGGAAGGCTTGTCTGCAGTGCCTAGCAGAACATAGAAGGCTTCTCTGTCAGGAGAAGCAAGGTTGGGCTTAAGAGAGAAGGAAATAATTAGGCTGGCAAGGCAGGAGGAGATGGAGCAAAGGAGGTGGGGTCATGGTCAGAGTGGCCTAGGCCAGCTCAACCCAAGTTTGTTGGAAGGTGATTCATCTCATTCGAACAACTTGACTACTTGGAGGTTTTGTTATCCTGTGCCCAATGTTTAGTGAACTTTACCCACAGGTCCTGTTCTGACCAAACTGACTACTAGTCTTAGGTAGACTGACCCAAGGTTACCAAGGCCTGCCATGTTACCTGTATTGGTTGAAGTGTCTGGCCAGTTCCATGAGTCAACTTCTTCCACTAACTGTTTCCAGGAAGCAGGCAATTAACCCAAGCTAGTAGCTTCTTGGCGACAGCCTTTGGATCTGACATCTACAGTCCTGAGATCAAGACTGGGAGCCACTTGCTGACAGCAGTTAGCTTCCCAAGAAAGCCAGGGAAACCTCTGCAAGCAATGGGTTTTGGGACTCAGTCTCCCCCATCAATAAAGTAGAAGAAGGGCTGGAGAGATGGCTCAGCGGTTAAGAATACTGGCTGTTCTTGCAGAAGACCTGGGTTTGAATCCCAGCACCCACATGGAAGCTCACAACTGTCTGTAACTCCAGTTCCAGGGGATCTGACAGCCTCTTCTGTCCTCCACTGGCATTGCATGACATGGGTGCACTTACCTACATGCAGGCAATACATGCATACGCATAAAATAAAAATAATAAATAAAATATTTTAAATAAAGTAGAAGAGTCAAACTAGCACAGGCCTGGCCAACACATAGTGTGGACATTGCCACTCCTCAGTTTTCACTAATCAATTACAGTACTTCTCCCCAAAGGATCCAGATAGGGGCCTTCGAATCCTTTTCAACATAGGGCTTCAAGCCACCCCTACCAATCAATTAGATTTGGCATGTGTGATAAAAAGCATTTGTCCTTGGGACATTGGACATGGCTGAGCCTCCCTCCAGCTGTGCTGATCTAGGATAGCAACTGATTAGGTATCTTGTAGACTCAGTCCAGGCGGAGACCATCAGATCTCAGCTGTCCCTGGGGCTTCCCAGCTTTGAAGCGGCCCTAGAACTGGTGCCTTATTAATTTTCCTCACTGCTGATACATGTGGATTGTGTCAGCTCCCTTCTGCCCCCTCATGTTCTCTGACTGCTGCCATCAGCGGGGACTTTTTCAGAGAGCTGTAAAAATAGTTTTTTTTTTTTTTTTTTTTTTTTTTCAGTCAGGATGAACTGTTTACTTTCCTCATAAACTTATAGTAGAAGTAGACAGAATGCACTGAAGGCTCCATATAATACAAATACAAGCTGTAAGCAAGTGATTGAATATCATTCTACCCCATTTATATGTACAGTTGATAAAATTCATTTTCCTTTAAGTTGTTCCTGCCATGTATTTTATTACAGCAATGAGAAAAGTAATCAATACAATCACTGAGCTGCAATCCTAGCCCCCTGGTTTTGTTGTGTGTGTGTGTGTGTGTGTGTTAGAGGGGTGTAAAAAAATTTTTTTTTTTTTTTTTTTTTTAAGATGTCTACATTAAAGAAACAACTAAAGCCCCCCCCCTCCCTCTCCCTTTCTTTTCTGAGACTGGAGGAAATGGATTAGGGAAGACTTCACAATGAAGGAATGTACTCCTTGGGGAGCTGAAAGTTCTTTTTCTTTTAAAAAGAAGAGGATGAGAAAGAATTATCACACTCTAGTTTCCTATCCAGTCTCAGAGCACAACTGTGGAGACTGGTAACCATTCCTGGGCCTAGCCTCATTAGGCTGTTGACAACTAGGTCCTAAGGTGCATAGCTCTAAGGAGTCTATCACTTACTAGCTCACTGCATGCCCCCCTGGCTGATTAGCTCAGGATTTTCCAGGGCTCTGAGCAACCCCTGTCTCCCAGCTGCTGTGAAGGCTACAGGGGCTTCTATCTCTTAAGTGGAGGCTTCACTCTCCCACTGCTCTGCTCTGGGACGGGGAGGTATAGCACAAATGGTAAGGCTGAGAGGGGCTTAAGATCTGGGGTGCTGCCTCCTGTCTGTTCTCCATTTAGAGACGAAAAGTGAGTCTTGCAGGGGGTCAAGGTCAGGGTACAAATCTGGTCCTGGGAAGACCCACATCTCTTGGTTCATCTCTGGACTTGTAGATCACCAAGTCAGAGCTGTAGGGAGCTCGGCAGTATCTAGCCCAGAGCCCCTTGGACTTGAGTGATGCATACCCGTCTTGAGAGGAAACAGTGTCCCAAAGTTCTAGATTTGAACTAGACTCTTCTTTCTTTTTTAAAAATTTAAATTATGTGTATATAGGGGAGGCTATGCATATGAGTGCAGTGCTCACGAGGGCCAAAAGAGGCTGTTGGATCCCCTACAGCTGGGGTTACAAGAGGTGGTAGAAACCAAACTTCTGCAAAAGCAGTACATGCTCTTAACTGCTTAGCCATCTCTCCAACTTCTTTTTCCCTTTCTTCTTTTGAGACAGGGTCTCATGTATTCCAGGGTGTCCTCAAACTCCCTTTGTAGCTGAGAATGACTTTGTACTTCTGATCCTCCTGCCTCTACCTCCTGGGTGCTGGGATTACAGATTACACCACCATGCCTGATTTATGTAGTGCTGGGGATTGGAACTCAGGCCTTCATGTATGCTAGGAAAGCTACCAACCGAGCCAACCCAAGCCCTGAATTATACTCTTTTATATATGCTTTTCTTCCGTCTAGAACCATAAACCAAAGGCAAACTAATAAAGGAACACAAACAGGGGATCAATATTCCCATTACTCACATTAAGTTATTGTGATGGATAATACTGTCTGGCTGACGCAGAATCCCATAGGATGCACATTGCGGAAGCAGACAGCCTTCAGGAGACCACAGGTCTTCCTCTCTGTACCCACCAGAGCCTCCCCATCAATGGTCTCTAGAATAAGGAATGTGGGATACAGCACAAGGTCAGGGGAGGGGGAGGGCAAGGCCATGCCAGGGGAAACTGAGAGCCTGAAGACTTATTTGCTCTTTCCCCACTTGTCAAGTGTCCCCCCTTGGGAGCAGCACTGGAACAGCAGTGGCTGGCAGTATGTCAGCCTTGAGCAGAGCTCCCTGAGATCGAAATCATGCCCTCAGTCCTTAGCAGACCTGGATTATCAGGACAACATCTTGCTGCCTGCCAATGGGAGCCTTGCTGGGCTTTGTCTACCCTCAACACTGCTCCTCTCTGCTTCTTCTTATCTCTGATTGGGAAGCACAGATCATGAAATTCGACACACAAGGAAAGAATATCCTGGAGGAAGGTATAAACTGAAAAGAGCTGAGGTTCTAGTTGCAAAGGGGTGATAAGAAGATGCATTGGTGATCATGGCACATAACAACACAGGCATGAAAGAAGAAGGGAACAAGCCAAAGGTATGGATCTGCTAGGCAAATCCCACCTCCTTCCAGCCTGGCTCAAAAAGTATCCAGGAGCTGTTCCTCTACATTCTGCTTTCCACACTCCTCTTGAAAATTTGCCATTTTGCATTAGGCCAGAATTACCTTTCATGATGACACCTGTCTCCTTGCACCAGAATGGTAATTCTGTGAAGGCAGGGGTTTTTTTCTGTTTGTGGCTAGATCCCCAACCTTAGGAGGGATTTCTATGAACAGTATCCCAGTGTTATAGGTGCTCAGAGGAAATGGTAGGAACTGCCTATCCTTGATATGTGGATTCCTGATAGCAAGAACCTCATCAATTGCTTCCTACTACTAATCAGCACCATCATGGCCCCTGGATGGAGATCTGTCCAAGGTATGAATGACTGTTGATATGAACCTTTGTCTCCTCTCAATTTATCATACATGGAGAAAGTCTTGGAGACATCATGGTGCTCTCCACATGACTTGGGAACTAAGAGTTCCAACTGGCAGGAAGCTGGCACAACCAGTCCCTGAAAAGCAGAGATTCACTTCCATGGGCTCCATTAGCCAAGGAGTCATAGGGGAGCCCAGACTCACTGTTCCACTCTTCATGAATACAGAGAGGGAAGGAATCCATGGAAACCTTAACACATCTGAGCAAAGAAAGTTATTGGGAAGAGATGGACAGAGAGATGATAAGATGTTCTGCACTTCAAGTTCCCCTTCCCTCCTCCTCCTCTTCTTCCTCTTCCTCCTCCTTCTCATGCTCTTTCTTCTTTTCTTCCTCTGCCTTCTCTTTCTCCTCCTCTATTTTCTCCCCCTCCCCATCTCCCCTTCCCCATACTGGGGACCAAACCCAGAGCCATGTGCATGCATACAAGACAAGCACTCAAGCACTGCAGTCTTCTTGCTGCTTCTCCTGACTTCTGTCCTTCTCCCTCTCTCTTTTCCCTGACCTCAAGGGCCAGGACTAAACCCCTCCTCACAGGTACTGTCCTCTTCCAGAGAATTTGCTCCAATGGGGCAGAACACATGCTCAGGAGAGGGCTGGCACCAGCAGGTCTCAGAGCAGAACTATAGGCCCTCCCCTCCCTCCTGCAGAGTCATTTTTTACTGTCCCAACCTCAAGACTCTCCCTTTTCTATAGTTGGGATAGCCACTTGGGTGCAGAAAGATAGAAGGAAGACTGGATGTCTCATCCCCTGACCCAGCATCCTGATGGCTAATGGCAGCAGTTATGGTACCCTGGCTAGAAGGCAGGGAGAGAATTTAGGGGGCATCAGGATGACCCTATTCTTCTCACCACCCAGCTGGTCCTACTGGAACCAGCTGTGAGGCTGCCTGAGCAGAGCTCCCAAGGGTACCGATCCTGTTCAGTTCTCGTTTCATCTGGCTAATACTCACTTTCCCTGCTTTCTCCAATGAGACACAGCCACTTTGGAACAATCTGAAGAGCCAGAAATAGACTTTGGGTTCAGGAATGTAGAGTTCATGCAGCAAATATCCAAGATTCCTTCTCATCTGTCCAAAAATACAGTGATCACAGAGTTCCACCCTACAGAGCAATATCATGGTGAGTGCTGTGTACCAAGTACCTGTGGGGGTAGGTTCTATTTGGCAGTGCATGGGAAGCACCAGTGCATGGAGACCACAATCTAGACTCTGTGAGCTTGAGACCCCCAACTGTCTAAGGCAAGGCCACTGGCATTTGAGCCTTACCTGAAAAAAAGACCAGGGGGACCTCAGGCTGGACTAAGGGAGACCAGGGACTTCTGCTCCTACTCAGGCTGCTACCACAAGCAGAGACAACCTGCTGCCAAAAAAGCCAACCCTGTCAGTGGCTCAGTCCCTCACCTCCAGGTGCCAGTCATTGGCTCATAGGAGGAAGTAAAGAAAGGCTGTTCGGAGCTTAGGTTTTGGAGTTAGTTGGCCTGGGCTCAAATACTATTTCTATTGCTCCCTTTCTGTTAACAATTTTCTTCTGTTAGGAATCTTGAATTTCATGTCTGTATAACGGGTTTCCACCCTGCATTGTCATAAGGATGAATGACGTAGAACCCATAGTCGGTCCCTACATGGTAGTAATTATTAGCTCCTGGCTGCCTAGCATCGTCTCCAGTGGCATATGCTCTAAGCAACTGCCTTCTCTTCCTTTTCGTGTTTTACTCCTGTTCCACGGTGTAGTCATTCAAGGGATATGGAAATCTTCCTGTGTAAGCTCAAAAGGTTAACTCGGTGGGGGAAAGTTTAGCAGAGGGTATAGGTTTTCTTGGAGCTATCTGCATCATTTCATTCAAAGCAAGGGATGGGCCACCTGGAGAACTGAGAGCCTTTCCATCCTGGCACCTCTATGAATTTCTGAAATCCTTTTTGCTGTCATCACTCTTGAGTTCAAAGCCAACTAAGAAGCTCCTAGTAGGAAAACAGCAGGGTGTTGTGAGCCCCCAGGATTATACCACCAGGGGGCGCTGCGCAGCTGGTTTCTGTCCAGCTTCTTTAGGAGGCGGAGAAAAGGCAGAATCCAGAGTCCTAGGAGGAATACAGACAGGTTTGCCTCCTGGGATGTGGGAATATAGCTGGCCTCAATCTTTAAATGTGGCCACAGCAGTCAGAGAATGGCAATCACAGTCACTCTTTCCATTGGGAAGGCTACTGACATTTGTCTTTTGTTCCCTCACAACTAAAGATGTGCTTTTCCTGAATGCAGACTGGCCTCTTTAGAAATGATATTCATCATGCAAAAGCATCTAACACACTCCAAATAGCCATGGGCAACCCAGTCTATGACTCTGCCCAACTCTGGGGCATGGGGGTAGATCCTGAGATACAAGTGTGGCTGGCAGTTTCACTACCCCAGGATATCCCAGCCTACCATTCATTTGATTTTGGACAGAGTTCCAATGCTGTATGCAAGCCTAATTTAATCTTTTATAGACCCACAAAACACATTTTTACCTCCTTCTTCCAGAGGAAGCAGACTCAGAGAATACCATAGGAGTTCTGGAGACTCTATCTGCTACTGGCTGCCTGGGTGAATTCAGAGTCTTGTCCTCTGCTTGGGAATTCGGTCAGAGGACATGAGGGCTGGTTTGTCCCTCAGCAAAGGTTCCCAAGGCACAAACTTGGGGAGACAGGAAGAAGGAAGCAGCCCACATTTCAGGAGCTGCCAGAAGTTCATCACCTGCTCCCCCTCACCAACCAGGGCATTCTCCAATGGAGGAGAGGGGGCATCCCCATTCATGTGCCAGCCAGCTCATGCATTTTCACAGAGCTTGTGACCAAGTTAAAAGATTCCTCTTTTCCCAAACCCACCTCTTGGGCTTTTAGTGACCACCTACCTCAGGAAGGAAGAGCCATGGGGAAAGAATCAATGAGGAGCGAAATCCTGTGTGACAGCATAGGGGACATCCTCTGGAGGGGACCTGTAAGAGCCTCTTGGGTTGACTTCTTCTTTCTAGAAGAATCTTCAATAGCATGGAGGACTGGGAATCAGGGGGGCTGACTGCCTCTTGACATCTAGAGGGGAATTGCCAAGCTTGCCCTTACTGTCAGGCTCTGTGCTCAATTAATCTTCAAGCACCACCTCAGGAAGAAGGTGTGATGATGATCTCTAGCCTAGCCATGTGGAAAAGGGTCAAGTGACTATGTCAAGGTCACTCAGGAAGTGGCAGTGCTGAGGTTTGAACCCAGGAAATCTGCCTCCTTGAGGAGCTGTCCTGCCTTAGCAACAGCCAGCACAGCTACCGTTTAACTGGCACCTCCTATGTTTCTGGTGCTTTAAGTCTTCGCAGTCAGGCTGTGACAGGCGTGGATGTTCTTCGAATTTCTCATTTCATAGATGACTGAATCTGGGCTTAGCAGGGCGCCTGGGGTGAGATGACTTTAGATTCTCACAGATGTTAGGTCTGCTAAATCCGAAACTTCCACACTCTGCCTCCTGTTGTACTCTGGGAAAGCATATTCTCAGTTTCCCAATGCTATGTGCCCTCTTCTGTCCCTGGCTCCTCCGTTCCAGCTGGTAAGAGAAAGGCGGGAGCCTCCCATGCAGCGGGATAACAGTGACCAGCAACTCTGGGTCTCTTTCCTTCTCTACTATCTTCTCCCAGAAGAAATCTCAGCTCCAGGCTTCTCGCTCCGTTGGGGAGTTTAGGTAGGAGGATGGGAAGATTCTGGATGGGGAAGCTTGGCGCTGCGTCACCTACAGGGTAGCAAGGCTGGGCAGTGAAGGGCCGGCTGAGATTGGGGAAGGGCCGGAGCGGCCAGCAGCCACGTGCTCAGAGGACAGCGGTGCAGAGAGCAGGCTGTCCTGCGGGAGCAGAGACGCGCTCCCAACTTGGGCAGGGGGCGGGGAGCAGAGCCGGAGGAGGCAGGTTCTGGCAGAGGGGATAGGGGTGGGGGGAGGCCGAGAGCACGCGGACAAAGGAGCCGGCCGGCAGCCCAGCTGTTTTGAAAAATGCTTCCTGTTTCTTTAAAGGCGCTCGCGGTTCGGGCGGCCGGGGCTGGGGAGGCGGCGGCGGCGGCCGGAGCTGCCTCCTCTCCGGGCGGGCGGCGTTGAGTGATCTTGCAAACTGGGCTTCTGTGTAAACTGAGGCTAAACAAACACAGATGGAGCGCAGCGGGCGTTCTAAAGAAATGCTGGCGGGGCAGCAGCGACTTCAGATGACACTCTGAGCGCTCCCGGGGAACGAACAGCCCCCGAAGCTTCGCGGAGCCGGCGGTGCAGCTGCCGGGGCAGAGGGGGAGCAAGGGAACGAGAGAGGGAGGGATCGGGGGAGGGAGGGACCGGAGAGAGAGCCGCGACCAGGCGGCGCTGCGCGCGGTGGCTGCCTGGACGCAGCCGGCGCGCGGCGGGCAGAGCGATCGCAGAGCGCGCTTCCCGGGCAGCACTACGTTCCTGCCCTGCGCGCCGCCCCCGCCATGAAGCACATCCCGGTCCTCGAGGACGGGCCGTGGAAGACTGTGTGCGTGAAAGAGCTGAATGGCCTCAAGAAGCTCAAGCGGAAAGGCAAGGAGCCAGCGCGGCGCGCAAACGGCTATAAAACTTTCCGACTGGACTTGGAAGCGCCGGAGCCCGGCGCCACTGCCGCCACCGCCACCAACGGGTTACGGGACAGGACCCAGGCGCTCCCGATCCTGACCCCAGTGCCAGCCTCTGTGGCGCCGGCGGTTCCTCCAGGTGGAGGAGCGGACACAGCAGGAGAGCTCAGGGGCATCCGAGCGCCCGACAACTCAGACGCGCGCAAACGCAGTTTCGCCCTGGGCGCTGTGGGACCCAGACTTCCCACGCCGCCGCCGCCTCCGGCATCCCAGGGTTTGGCACCTGGGGGTCCCGAGACCCAAGCTTTCCGCGAGCCGGCTCTTCGTCCCCGCATTTTGCTGTGCGCCCCTTCCGCGCGCCCCATGCCTTCTGTGCCTCCCGCAACCCCAGCAGCGCCCCGAGAGTCGTCTGTGCTCCCTGCGCCCCCCACGCGCCCGGGGGAAAGTTCCTACTCGTCAATTTCACACGTAATTTACAATAACCACCCGGATTCTTCTGCGTCGCCTAGGAAACGGCCGGGCGAAGCAACCGCCGCCTCCTCCGAGATCAAAGCCCTGCAGCAGACCCGGAGGCTCCTGGCCAACGCCAGGGAGAGGACGCGGGTGCACACCATCAGCGCGGCTTTCGAGGCGCTCAGGAAACAGGTACCCACTCTCCGCTGCCTCCGGGGGACAGTGACAGGAGTGGGTGGGTGCGTGGTGGGGGGATTCCGCGACCCAGACAGGTTTGGGTAATAATCGTGGGTGCGAGTCTTAGTTTGCAAAGTGTGCAAAAGCTGGAGATCTTTGGCCTAGGTACACTGTGTTCCTCTGTCACCCCGTCTGTTGTGCCCGACTTCAGCTCTCATAGCTCACTTTTATGGCAACGAGTATTTGTCGCCCGGATGAGGACAGTGGGGATACAGAGAAGGGAATGTGGGAATCTGTCCCTGGCAAGGGTGGGGAACAGAGCACAACTTTTCGGCTCTGAGCTCTTGGCCCCTTGGCGCGGTTGGGACCTTGGCCCCTGTTGGTGGCATCGAGGCCTAGAACCCCTTAGAGGTGCGCTCTTGGGGTGGGTGGGTGGGGGCGTCCTGGAATGTAAAGGACAGTCAGCGGAGCCTGTCAGCCGGCTTCCAGCAGGAGTCCCCTGTACACTCACTTTACTTCTAGATTCTCTGCACTCTTTACCTGGTCCCTGGCGTGCTTAAGGGCCTGAGGTACAAGCTTATACCCCTGGACAGGGATAGCTTTAGGAGCTAGTTGGTGGTAGAAACCTTCTACCCTGCCCACCATGGTCCTTCCTCTCCTGGCCACAGTAGGCACCTCTGTGAGGGGACTGCTGCTTGGGAGATTACCTCTGGGGGGTCTGCAGAACCTAGTTCTGGAACAAGTCACTGGGCTCCTCATTTGGTGGCTGGTAGGGGGCTGCTCTCACCAGACAATGCTGGGGGAAGCAAAAGAATGCGTAACAGGATAATTACCCATCTTGAAGGAAGACAGTTGACAGCTCCACTTAAAATATTGTTGGCACTAACTTAGGACTCTTGAGTTCTCATTTTATTAGAGAAGAGTGAGATCTAGAAAGGGCATCGGAACACCCTCCCCCCTCCCCCCCAATATGAAGGGATGGGGTATGTGGGTGTGTGTATATGTAACTGCTTTAGTGGATGAAGTTTTTTTTTTTTTTTTGCTTGTTCTGCTACTGATGAGCTCCTGGAAAGTTACATCTCTGGGCTTTAGCCAATCACAAACCAGTTCAGAAAACATCATCTTTGTTTTGCTCATACTCTCTTCCTCCTGTGGTTAAGGTGGGGCAACGGTGACTTAGTCTAACCATGGATGGGAACCCTAGGGAAAAGATGCCCTATGGCTTTTGAGTCAAGTGTCTTTTCTGAGTTTGGGAGAGATGTTTGATCAACCAAGTGGGGAGATGAGGTCAGGTGACTGTCACACATCAGCTGCGACCTTGGGCAGTGGAGCCAGTGGTTTCATCCTGGGCCAGCTTCTATGTACCTGCATGTCTGGGCAGGGGTGACAGCCTGTAGGATGACTTGCAGCCCCTTTCCCAGGACACAAGGATGATAGATGAGGCAGGAAGATGCTTGTCCACCTGATACCCAGTGCATCTAGGCAAGCCCCTTCTGGATTGGGGTGTCACCTGCCCAGAGAGAGCCTCAGGACTGGTGAGGATCAGAGCAGGGCTGGCACCCCAGACCACTGCCTCAGCTTCCTTTCTCTGCCTCCAGCTGCCTCCTTCAGCACTTTTAGAGAGAGCATGCATGCCCAGAGTGCTCTGTGTCTCATGTGCCCTGTGGCTATCGTGCTTTCCAACAAGGAATCCTACTTTATTTCATCTTAACAGCATCCCTGTCAGGACTGGACAAACCCATTTTATAGCACAGAATACTAAGGTCAGAAGGAAGGAGACTTGTCCAAGATCATCTAGTAGGTTAGGGGTTAGATGACAGTGCTTTCTGGAATGCTTCTTAGGCCAAATGCTTCTTACTCGGTGGTGCTACTAGCAACTCTCTGAGATGAGATTGTTACTCCTGGTCTAATTTCATTTCTGCCTTTCTGTGGGGGAAGTCCTGCATAAAAGGGTTGAGTTCAATTGTGTCTCTGCAGAAGGCAAGCCCAAACCTTCTCAAGGAGAGACTTTGTGCATACACACACACACACACACACACACACACACACACACAAGTAGTTAAAAACACTAGTGTGTAGCCAGGTGTGGTGGCACACGCCTTTAATCCCAGCACTTGGGAGGCAGAGGCAGGTGGAGCTCTGTGAGTTCGAGGCCAGCCTGGTCTACATAGTAAGTTCTAGGCCAGCTAGGGCTACAGGGAAACCCTGTCTCAAAAATACCAAAAACAAAACAAAACAAAACAAAACAAAAACAAAAACGAAACCCCCCAAAACAAAAACAAAAGCCCAGTGTGCATACATTCAATACATGTACCCAAGGACACACACACTGACACATGCAGATACACACAGCAGCACCCACCCTGTTTTTCATTGTTTCAATCAGTCTGTCCTTTCCCTAGAAAGGTGTCCAGGCCCTACCAGACACGTGCCTATTATCTGAGATGGACAAAAATACAGCCAGGAAGACGTCCACTGTGTCCCCACCACCATAGCTCCCATCTATGGACAAAGTCCTTTGTCCCAGAGGAGTGCCTTCTTCTTCAGGCTCTCCCACCTGCCATGCCTCCACGACTTTCTGTGTGGCTGTGGACAATCACTTGTCATCTGGGCTTCAGTTGCTGAGGCTGTACCATGTACTGCTCTTCTTTGCAAAGCAGGCTAAGGAAGGGGCAGTGAGAGGGACATTTTGTAAATCTACAGTGTCCTCAGGGACGAACAGGGTTTCATTCAGACGTGGCAGTATGAATTCTTTAACTATTTTAAAAATTTATAATTACATTTTGTTCATTTTGTATGTGAGTGTGTGTATGTGTGTGGGTGCTTGGACACCACAGGGTGCCAGTGGTAGTCAGAGGACAACTTGTGGGAGTATGTTCTTTACTTCCACAATGTTGGTTCCAGGGAATGAACTCAGTTCATCAGGTTTGGCTGCAGGTACCTTTCCCACTGAGCTATGTCACAAGCCCTTTAATCATTTTAATAACATTCATGGAAACTGCCTTTTATTAGCTGCTTCATGCCAGGCACTGTGCTTAGCACCTTCAGTGTACTAGTTAACTGGGTAAAATAGGCACTGTTCTTATGCCCCCATACCCCCCCCCCTCACACAGTGTGACATCAGGGTCTCAGGAAACTTTGTGAATTGGCTGAGGTCTACAGCAATTTTGGTGGCCTCACTGGTTTTGTGCAACACTAGGTCTTTGGGTCACTCTCAGATCCCTGTTTGGCAATGGCATTGCGCGGTGTGTACATGGTCACCGCAGAGCCAGAATCAGGGTTAGTGAGTTGCTCCACTAGCCAGGGCTTAACAGCCTTACTGCTTGGCTTGTCTAGGCCCTGGAGCTGTCCACCCTGAACACTAGGAAGCCAGACAGGCCTCTGTGTCTGCTCAGTCTGTTATCGTCCCAGGGTAGAAGCAGGGGAAAGGGACAGTGGCAGAGATGTAAGCAGAGATGCAGGTGGGAGAGAGTCTTTCTGGTTTTGGGAGGGGGTATGCAGGGCAGATGGTCAGGCAATAGCACTTGCCACCAGCCCAGCTGCATTCAAGCCTCCTTACTGCCTCATGTGAAGGCCATGTGTGTGCAGCTGGGCCTGACCACGTGCAGGCTGCTCCTTGCCAGGTGGGAAGGGTCCAAGGGAAAGGCCAGCTATGTTGTATGGAGGAGGGGAGGGCCCTAACCCTGGGCCTCAGCCTCCTCCTGGCAGGACCCTTTGACTGTGCCCTACCTAGGGATATCTAGCCTGTGGGTACCTTTGCTGTCTCCCTCATAGCCCATCGGTTCCATGGAGGAGTTACACCGATGGCAGATTGTGATGGGCTCTTGGCAGCTGCCTCTCCTATGAAGGAGGAACCTAAAGCCAGGAGGTTAGCTAGAGGGACAGCCAGCCTCTCAGGCTGCCCACCCAGTGCTCTTCCTGTTTGCTGGAGCCAAGAGAGGGTCTGACTTGGTAATATAATGGGGTGGGATGTTTGGGGAGAGGGAGTCTAGAATATCCTATGAAAATGCCAAAAGCTGCTTCTCTGTGGAGTTTAAAAATCCAGAAGCTGGAGAGATGGCTCAGTTGGTAAAATGCTTGCTGACATGAGGACCTGAGTTAGGTCTCCAGCACCCACATAAAGGAAATAAGGCACAGTGGTATATAGCTGTAATCCCTCCACATGCACATGTGCACATTTGCATGCACACCTGTATACACATGTGCATACACACAGTCCTCTTACCATTCTAGAAGCTGGACAGTCTGAGTGGGGAGTGGGAGCCAGGTGGCCCTGCCTACTCCTTTACCTTGAGTCCTCTGACCAAGGTGAACAGATGACAGCTGTGGGATCCTATGTAGGCAATGAGGTGTGTGGGTATGCCCTGTGTCCTGCTGTGGATGCTCACAGAGGGACTCACAGGCTGGGGTCCCCTGGGTTCACTAGCCTAGAACTCTCCATCCCCAGCTGTCCCTCCCCCAACCTTAAGCTAATTGGAAAGAGCCCTGGTCAAGTTATAACTTCAAACTCAGCTCATCTCTCAGAAGCTGGGAGATTTGGGAGTTCCTACATGCCTGGGGGTGGGGTCAAGTGCATCTATGTAGATCATTTTTACCTTGGTGGACAGCTTAAGTGATGTGTAGACAGTGTATTCAAATACCTCCCTCCACCCAGCCTTTATAGAAGGCGGTCTAATTTAGCCCAGGCTGGCCTCAAACTGTGGTGCCAAGGAAAACCTTGAACTTCTGATCCTCCTGTTTCTACCTCCCAAGTGCTGGGATTACAGGCATGCACCACCATTCCTGGTTTGTGTGGTTCTGGGGATTGAACCCAAGGGCACTGTGTATGCTAGACAAGTACTCTACCACATGCCCAGTCCTGGCACCAAGAGAATCTAGAAGGAATCAAATAAACAAAGAATTAGTCCTGAAGGTTGGGGAAGAGACGGGATAAGTCACCTGAAAAGAGCATTCTTGCCCCACATGTGGCCACCACTCTTGCAGAGGAATGCCCTGTGGCATGTGCCTTCTTTGGGTGCCAGGCAGATGAGCTACTGGCTCCACTCATGTCTCAGATGACTGACCTGGAGCTCAGAATGTCACCTGTCTGTTTTCTTGTATGCTATTGGTGAACAGCTGACACCCTGCCAGGTGGACAAGGTCTCAGTCCACACTTCTCTTCTGGTTACACCAGGAGCTTGACCCGTGCACTGGATCAAAGTGACAGATCTAGGACAGACTGGCCAGAACCTGGAAGGAGGCCCTTGGGTTAGCTTTGGCCTCTTCTGGCATTCTGAATCTGGTGGTGACCCTGGGTCCCAGCATACAGACCTCTCTGAAGATTTCATTTCCACCTTGAAGCCCAGCTGTTCTGGGGCCCAGGTGTACAGAGCAGGCTGTTGAACAGAAACTCTCAGCATGGTCTCAGCATGACAATAGTGCTGGGTTTGGGGGCTACCCTAGGTCCCTAGACCTCCCCTCCCCCCTGTAGGCAGAGGTGCTAGGCTGGCCCCTGAGACCCCTTTCTCTGGCCCAGGACTGCCAGATCTTGTTTATTTGTTCAAGCTGATAAAGCAGAATTTTCTGGACTCTGGCTGGAAACAGGCAAAGTACATTGTTCTGCCAGCTTTTCTTGGATGGGTTTGGAACTGTGGTCAGGGAGGGGATGGGGATGTTGGTGGGGGTGGAGGGTGCAGGGAAGTTGGCTTTCTGTCTGTTACCTCTCTCTCCTTTTTACCCTGGTTTCCTAGTCTCCTAGCCCCCATGGGGTGAGAGGTGGGCAGGCACTGTACCCAGGTTACTCAACTGCTCTGGAGCGCGTCTCTGGGGATTTTCTGCAATACTGATGGTCATCATTTTGCTGACCTCTGCCAGCCTTGCTGTGTGTAATGCCTATGTCATCCACTGAATCCCTACTACCCTGTGAGGTCAGTCCTGTTCTCAGTGTGCAAAGACAGTGAGGTTCAGAGTGGTTATGTCACTTGCTCAGGGTCTTATAGCCAGGCAGAGCCAGAGTCCGGTGTTGAACCCATGAGACAAAGGTATGTATACGTTGTTTCTTCATCCTCAGAGAGATAAAGGGTGTGTGTGTGTGTGTGTGTGTGTGTGTGTGTGTGTGTGTGTGCTCAGGTGTGTATGAAGGCCAGAAGATAACTCCTCTGGTGTCATTCCGAATCAGGTGCTGCCTGCTTTTTTTCGCCTGGAACTGACCAAGTAGGCTCTAGGAACGCTGTCCAGCAAGCCTCAAGGATCCACCTGACTTTGCCTCCCCAGACAAAGAGTGATTGAATGAATAACTTCAGGATGGTTTGAATCTACTTCAAAAGGTTTTATCTGGCCTAGGGTTTGGGGAATGAACTTGGGTTCTCAGTCTTGAATAGCAAGTGTCTTTACCCACTGAGCCAACTCTCCAACCATTCTTCTTGAGTTTAAATTCTTCAAAGGCAGGAGTCAAAGTTTGTTTTGTTTTGTTGAAACAAGGTCTCCCTGTGTAACCCTAGCTGGTCTGACACTTGCTGTGTAGCCCAGGCTGGCCTCCAGCTTACAGCAGTCCTTCAGCTTCCCAAGTGCTCCAGCCCCACACCCAGCTAAGGGTCAGTTTTTATTTTATTTTATTATTTCATTAATTTATTTTTATTCTGTGTGTATGAATGTTTTGCAGCATGTATGTAAGTGCACTACATGTATGCAATGCCCACAGAGGCCAGAAGAGGGCATTGGATCTCCTGGATCTAGAGTTAAGAGACAATTGTTAGCTGCCATGAGAGTGCTAGGAACCCAACCTTGCCAGCCAGTGCTCTTAACCACTGAGCCATCTCCAATGCTGACCTGGAACTCACTGTGTAGATCAGGCTGATCTCAATCTCATAGAGATCCACCTGCCTCTACCTCCTGAGTGCTGGGATTAAAGGTGTGTGCCACCATACCTGGCAGTTTTTTTTTATATTTGTTTTTATTTAGTTAGGGTTTTTTTTTTTTTTGTTTTGCTTTTTGTTTTTTTGTTTGAGATAGGGTCACATTTATCCAATACTGCTCTTGAACTCACTATGTAACTGAGGATTATGTTGAACTCTTGATCCTCCTGCCTCTACTTCCCAAGTACTGGCATTAAAGGAGTGTGCTACTAGGCTCATAGGAGTCAAGTGTTTAATTGTTTGATCCCAAGTATTCAACAAAGTATCAATGAATGAATGAACAAAGGAATGCATGAAAGGGAGCATCTGAGCTAGAAAGAGTATCTGTCCCCTCAGGGAGGGTAGAGGACTCTTTCTCAGGGAGGAAAGAGAGTGGGGCTCTATCAGGTTGGAAATTTATTGTACTTTGACACAGACTGGTGCTTGGGCATGAGCTAGGCCTCAGTGTCTTCCCTTGCCAAATGAGAATGCAGATATACCCCAAAGTGTCAGGTGGGTAGGCTGGGATGTGGGCATGTAAACAGCAGGTGCTTAGCTTAGATCATAAAGTCAAGTACCGGGCCCAGACACACTTTAGATAGGTTGCCTCCACTATAAAGACCTGCCAGGCCCAGGTATGTGTGAGGTTGTGTGCTGAGCACAGAGGACTCTGTAGTTGCTCCTGATACCTTTTCCTTGCCATTCCTAGGTGCCATGCTACTCCTATGGGCAGAAGCTGTCCAAACTGGCCATCCTGAGGATCGCCTGTAACTACATTTTGTCGCTGGCACGGCTGGCTGACCTGGACTACAGTGCAGACCATAGCAACCTCAGCTTCTCTGAGTGTGTGCAGCGCTGTACTCGCACCCTGCAGGCTGAAGGACGAGCCAAGAAGCGTAAGGTATGTAACAATATTCAGGTGGCTGGCTCCAGGGAGGACAGGGGAGGCAGGGACAGTAACTTGGGGGACACCTGCATGTGGCAAGGATTTTCCAAGGGGCCACAGAGATCAGCCTCTTGGAATGTTCTGGTGATCACCCCAGCTTTAGGAACCCTCAAATCCCTGGAATCATGGGCATACAGCTGTTAGGTGGTCTTAGGTAGTCTGTGGGCTCTCTAGTCTGAATTTATTGCTCCTTAAATGAGGAATGTGCTTTATCTTTGAAGCTCTTCTTGGCCTCATGTGATCTGATGCTGAATTAAAGGAGTGTGCTGGCATTAAAGGAGTGTGCCACTAGGCTCATAGGAGTCAAGTATTTAATTGTTTGATCCCCAAGTATCCAACGAAGTGTTGCCTCCATGTGGCCCTGACAGATGTCATATCAGGATGAGATTTCCCTGAACAGATGGCAGCCCAGAAGCCTTCTGCAGGTTCTGGGAATGTGGTTTGGCCTGGGGGATGTGATATGAGACTGTGAATTAAGGTGGGTGGTACTCATTCATTCTAGATTTGCTGAGCAGGTTGGACAGGGGTGAGAACCATGTCAAAAAGAGACTTTTGTAAGAAGACATGGGAGGAACAGTGTGGCCTGTCCTGGGGCAGGGAAAGGCCAAGTGGAAGAATCACAGAGTTTAACAGGCCATCTTAATGGAAGCAACACTTGAGCTGTGACCAGTAGGACAGCTGGACAGGAGGTTGCCAGGCAAACAAAGCAGGGACAGCAATGCAGGCAGAGGGAGCAGGCTATACAAAGCTTGATGTATTTAAAGAAATCTATGGCAGAGGAAGGGAGTTGGGTACAGCCCTAGTTTCCCAAATGCCCGATATTTAGGGGCATATCTAGTCAGGGGTTGTACTTTGCAAAGGTTATTGGGTCTCTGTTCCTATGTGATGGATTGAGAAAAACAGAGAGTGGGACCCAGTCTGGGTCTGTGAGATAGCCAGAGGGACCAGGAGGGATTCCCTTGGGAATAGAGGGAGCTAAGGACTCTGGCATCCTTCATCCAATCCTTTCACTGTCTTCATCCTTCTTCCCTGCCCTTCCCCCAGGCTCATTTTAGGCGAGGGGTAGGGGTGGGAAACCTGTGGCTGGCCCCAGTTTCCCAGAGGCCCCTAAACCCCCAGTGCTGAGGTAAGGGGAGGCCCGCCTCAAAGGGCGCCACCAGTGGTAATTGCATGTTGCATTCCTGGGAGTGATTTAGCAGGACCAATTAGGAGAGGCTCTCATCAATCCTGTGAGAGAGGAAGCACCACTGGCTGCTCTGGGGCTACTTTCCTGCTTTCCTTGGGAGAGTGACATAGGTAAATGTAGTTGTGATTGATGGCTCCATGCCATGCTCTGTGACAAAGGAGGTTGGTAAACTCTTGGTGAACTCCCCTGGCATTCAGCTGCCCATGTGTCCCCCTCAGAGGTGTGGATAGGCAGTTAGGCAGCATGGGCAGGCCTCTCCCCCTTTCCTTCCCCTCCTCCCACCCTGACCCACCTCTTCACACACACCCTCAAAGGCAGCATCAGACCCTCCCTCCACTGGTTCCTTGATCGGAGCAGATAGTGTCCTGGGCTGGGAGGAGGGAGACTTCAGCCCCAGTCAGAATACTGAAGGAAAGAGGCTAGCAGAGTTAGGATGCCCAGCAGAGCCAAGATTTTGGCTTTCCCTGAAGTCATCTCAAAGTTAAGAAAACTTTTGAGACTTCTCTGCTGTACAGATGAGGAGACTGAGGTGGCAGAGTGTGGGTAAGAACATCAGACAGGTCTGGCTACCAATTGAGATCTATTTTCTAACCCTTCAGGCTTCCTGGGCAAATGGAACTGGTGGGGCACTCAGTCAGGGCCCCCCGGAAGATGAAATGTTGTATATGAGACCATGGTTCATGGTTCATGGTGTCTGGCAGGGGTTGGGGACTGCCTTTCCTTTTGTTTGGGGGAGGAGGATCTGCAAAGACCTGAAAGAGAAGCACACCTGGTCCCTCAGTGTGGCAGTTGGGCCCTCCGTGGACCCTTGTGCCACCCAGTGACAACAGGACACTGTGGTTGGAGGATTTAGGAGCCAATGGTCAGAGTGAGAGGAAAACCTAACAAGAATTTTTACTTCTCACACAAGTTTCCAGCCATTAGAGGCCCCTAGGAAGTCATGGATATAGAAATTCCTAGGCAAGCAGGAGGACTGGGAAGATTTGACCAGAGCCCTATTGGGCTTTAGGGGGTATGAGAAGATAAGACCTAGAACCTTCCATTCAGAGGTCTGCTCTGCCCTTTCTGGATCTGGAGTAGTGTAGTGGCTCCATACACTGGGCTCACCATTGGTGTCAATCTTGAGGAGCCCCTAGGACAGGTACATTGGCATAATTGGTAGGTTTTGAGGGACATTGTGTATGCCCTCCACTTGGCTTCAAGGCAACTCAGAGCTGCTAAGGGCTTTTGCTGTTCTTCCGTGAAAAGTAAGATGACCACCTTAGGCTACACTCATCTCCCAACCTCTTCTTACCAAGACTGAGCTGTGTTGGGTTGGTTGTCCCTCCGTGCATCTACAGGCAGCAGCTTCATGGTCCCCCTCTACCTTAGTCCTTTCCTGTTGCTATAACAGAATACCACAGACTGGGTAGTTTGTAAGGAACTTTATTTAGCTTGTGGTTCTGGGACTGGGAAGTCAAAGGGCACAGAGCTGACTCCTGATGAGGACTTTCTTGCTGCTCCTCAATCTGGCTGAGAATATCATAGCACGTCAGCAAGCATGCTAGCTCAGGTTTTTCTTCCACTTACAAAGCTAGTACTGTCACACAGGGCCACACCTCAACGACCTCATCTCATCTAATTAACTCCCAGAGGTCCCTCACCTCCCTATTATCAACACATGAATTTTGGAGTTAGGTTTCCAATAAATGTGTTGGGGACACAAGTTCAAACTCTGGTTCCCCTTACAACTCAGCTGCATTTAAAACAGTTTATTGGTGGTGGTGGGGTGCATGACAAGGCATGCATGTGGAGGTCAGAGGACAACTTGTGGGGGGTTGTTCTCTCCTTTCTACCATGTGGGTCCCAGGGATCCAACTCAGTTCATCAGGCTTGGTGGCAGGCAATTTTGCCTGCTGAGACTCAGCCAGCCCACCTAACTGAGCTGCATTTTAACTGCGATTTAGACTTAAGGGGTGCCTAGCATGGTAGCTCTCATGTGGGCTAGTCAGTAAGGGGAGCAGGAGGCTGAGCACAAGGAGTTAGGACTAAAGACTGCTGGGTCTGTGAGCAGCTCTGGCTCTGTGATGCTGCTGGTCCCAGCCAATATGCCTGAGGACAGTTTGAACTGCTTCCCTGGAAGATTACTCCCTGAGTGAACATATCCCTGAGAGACCGGGCGACCCTCCTGCAGGACACCTGTTTGAGAGCTTGAGCCTAGTGGCTCCCTTGGTCCCTTTGGTGAGCTGCCCTGCATGCCAGGTATGCATTAAGAATGCCATCAGTGGTGAATTTGGTTTACTCCCCAGGCCTCCAGTGCATCTTTTTGTCCACCTCAGCCCTTCCCAGCTGGGTGGGGAAGGATACTTCACCAGCCAGTTCTCCTTTTCTGACTTGGAGTTCTACCTCCATTCACCATTTCACACGCCCCAGTAGTGCAGAGAGCCATGTCAGAGGCCACCCAGCAGAGAGCAGGGTGGGAGGAGGGAAAGCTCTGGGGAAGGCTGTCCTGACTCTGCTAGAGAGAAAAAAACTAGGTGCCTGGCCCTGGGCCACACTCCTGCAGCTCCTGTTTCTATAGTGGCAACTTCTGGAAATCCCTTGAAGAGGACGAGGAGGGGAGGGATAAAAAAGGAGGAAGCGGGGAGGAAGGGGGCAGACTTCCTTTATACCTGGGCTCCATAGGTCTTGCCAAGCCTGTGGAATAAGCAAAGCAATGCTCCCCAATCTAGAACACTTTCTTACAGGGGTTTTAAGTTAAGTAACCAGATCTACTGCTAAAACTGATGGAGTTTTCTGTGTCTTGGGTAACGAACGGCCATTAAGTGCCCTGCCTTAGTTGCTCACAGGCTGCAGGGTGGGGTGGGAGAACAGGAGAGATAGTAATGCACTGAGGTGAATGCTATACAAGAGGTCCCTGGGGTGCCAGCCTGCCTGTGGGGCTGGCAGGGCTGGAAAGTGAAGAAGTGCCAGTCACCCATGGGTGCCCAGGTGCCAGAGGAGATGTTGAGCAGGCAAAGTTATATCAGCTCTGTGTTCTTCCCTCTGTGGCCTGCTGTTATCTAGGAGAAGGTGGGGTGGCCAGAGGTCTTTTGGAAGACAATCTCAGGTGGTAGACTCCTATAATTCAGTTCTGAGGACAGACTCTGGGTGAGTGAGAGGCTGGACTGTGCTTTTGTGGGCTGCCCTAGAGCCTAGATACATGAGACAGTCTTGAGAGGCCCTCTCTGACTGGGTCCAGCTCCCTCAAGTCCATGTGAGCCTGAGGGCGCTCTCCTAGCTTTGTCACCACCTGCCATGTATGTGGTAACCCCAGCTCAGGGCCTGCTTTCCTTTTCTGTCAGGTCCAGCTCCAACTACTTCACTGCCTGTTTCCCCTGTGGAACCCAGGTGGGCTGAGGTGGCTCTCATTTTCCAAACCTCCAGACCAAGCCATTGAGTTAAATACCATTTACTCTCAAAGCCCATAGAGTCCACTATGCTGGGAAAAGAGTGGAGTGGGTGGGAAACCACCATCCAATTCCCTTCTAGTCATAAAAATGGATGCAATTTATTTTTTCTGGCTTTCCGATTGCGTAGACATTTGTCGCCAGCTGTTCTAACATGGAGTGTTCTCTCAGCTGCCGTTTCTCCTCTCACATTTGACACCATTAGGCCACAATCTGGCAGGGTCCTGGCTGGAGGGATCATTAACTGGGAAGCCTCCCAGGTGAGCTGAACTGGCTTTCCTCTGAATGCAACCTCTGATGTTCCCTGGGTGGTCTGAGGTGATGTAGAGGCTGGGGTGCTACTTCACCTAGGCCTGCAGATCAGAATTCTGCCTTTCTCGCCACAATGGTGGGTATGACTAAAGACTTAGAAAGAAGCATAATGAGAAAGAAGTAACCCCTGCTTGGTCTTTTCTGCTGCCAGAACTCAGCACACTTAGGGACACAGAGAGTCCCCTGGAATACTCATGACCCAGGACTCCTCTGGAAACCTCTGCAGATGCTGTAGAAGGTGTCTATTTAGAGTTGGGATTAACTCCAGAGTACCCTACAGCTCTCTGGGGGTGCTTAAATGTCCATTATGGTACATTAAAGTATGACTGAAGTAGACAAAATGTAGGGCCAGGGACGAGACAAGGTTCTGAGTCCTGGCACCCACACTTCTTCCACTGTGACCCTGGAGTTCTTACTTAACTTCTCTCATCTCCAGGTCCCCATAAGTGAGAACACCATACTTTCCTTTTGGCCTTGCATTAAACAAGATCATGTATCAGAAAAGATTGGCATTTTTTCAGTGAGGACCAGAAAAGAAATCTCTGTATTTACAACTCTAAGGTAACAAATTAGTACCCAACTCCATTCCTGGAAACCGGAAAGGGCAGGTCCCCAGGGGGGCAGATCAGGACTCATTGTTCTGAGTTGGGGATTCTCCCATCGCTAGCTCTTCAGTCCTAAGCTCTGGTCCTGCCCTTTAAAGAGAGGCCAGCAAGCAGCCAATCCATAAATCCTCAATTTCAAAGGGTGTGGATCTATACCAAGAAGCTCATGCAACATTTGGCATAGGAGAATGCCAATAAACAGACCACCATCAACAAACAGTCAACCATATGGTGAGGCCCACTGTGCACCAGAAGCCTCACCTACTGTCTCTACAGCCCTTGTTACTACTCCCAGACACTACTCCTGGCACAGAAGGGAAACTGAGACAAGAGAAACCCCAGGGTCACTGGGCTAGGAAATGGGTTTTGTTTGCAGACCCCAAGGTCTTCCACTCCTGAATCGTGCACAACGCCCAGCACAGTGGCAGGTGCCCAGGAGGGTCCCCCACCCCCCATGCCCTGTGCTTGGAGCGACGGCGCTTAGGTAAGCAGGCGTTTGCAGTACGTGGGGGTTCCATTTAGCAGCAGGGAGCCAATAGCCCGCTGGTGGTGGCGAGGAGTGGGGTAGGCGAGGGAGGCGGTGGTGGTGTCATCAGCTCCTAGCACCCCCAGGGCTGCGCTGCCAGCGAGGCCTGACACCAGGTTAAGTCGCCTGGCGGCCTCCGGCTGCAGCTGGGAGCACCGCCTGGTTCCCATTCGGCGCTGTGGTTTTGATTAGCTGCTAGGCAAGGCGGGCCTGCCTGCAAGTCTATGGGAGCTCGGCAGGAACAGCGGGTCCCCCTCTAGGCCGCCCGGCCCCCCCTCCTGGCAACCCCAGACTCCAGATGTTCCGAGCGCTCGCTGGGAAGGCCTGCTGGCGCCACGGAGGGCAGAGGGCAGGGAAAGCACGCGAGCTGGAAGCCCAAGAACTCAGTCACCGCAGGCCTTGGCAGCCCGCCCGGCCCTCCGCTGGCACATTCCCCAGCTCTCCCCTGGCCATCTGTTCCCAAAAAGCCCTTTCAGAACCTCATCATCACTCAGGATACAACAGCGCGAGCAGCTGGTTTGGAGGCAGCAGCGAAAACCGTGCAAAAGGTTCTTTGTGAGAGAGGAAGCTCGATTATGAATAACAGGGCTGGACGCCGTAAAAGTTGGCGGCTGCAGTTCTTGTTTCTCAGGCGCCGCTGTTTGCTCTTGACTTTTTATCTCTGGTTTTTATTTTTTCCCCAGTTGCTTTCAGTGTTGTTTCTTCCTCTTCTGACACCAGGTGTCGTTCCTTCCTCCTTCTGGGTACCTGAAGGCCACCTAATTAGTTCTTAGGATGCTGTCAACTTTTTTTTTTTTTTTTGTCTCAAAGCTGTAAACCCTGGGGATAGTTGGATGTCACTGTTTTTCTCCAGCCTGGCTTGGAGGGAATAGGCAGGCAAGAAGGTTGGGGAGTCTGATGGGGGACAGCAGCTGGAGAGATGGTTCAGAAGGTAAAGTACTTGGTATGCCAGTGTGAAAACCTGAGTTTGAATCCCCAGCACCCTCAAGTACACCCCTGCACACACACACAGAGTGAGAGTGAGAGCGAGGGGGGGAGAAGAGAAAGAGAGAGAGAGAGAGAGAGAGAGAGAGAGAGAGAGAAAATATCCTGGATTAGTATGATCAGGTCCTGACCTGTGATTGCTGAGATAGATCCTAACCGTAAGTGTGACCCAGCCCTAATTTATTTAACCAAACAGCAAACAGCAGCACTGAGGTAGAGAGTCATCCTACTGTCACCCCGACTGACGCTAGCATGTAGGGGGTGGGATGAGAGCAGCACAATGGAGAGACCCCCATCGGCTCATCAGAGGGTAACACCAAGGGGCTTTCGGGAGAACAGTCGCAGTCGTAAACACCCAGTGCCTGGCCCTGGCAGCTGACTACATCATGACATGAAGCCTTTTTTAAGAACCGGCTGCCGCTAAAGGCTTCTGGGACATGTCTGCCCGGAATCTGGGCACCTTCTGGGAACAGTCACCGGGTGGCCTGTCCCAGGCATGGGGTCCTGGGTAGGGCTGGCAGCTGGGATGAAAAGAGAGAAGAGCAGGGCCTGCTGCATTCCTCATACCCCTCTGGACAGGGAATAATGTCAAGGCTGCCCAGTGTGGGTGGAGCAGAGTGTTCATGGTATCAGCCTGGTGGTTAGGTTGGGGGTGTGGGTTCCCTTTTGCTTCCTTAGTTCCCCATATTTCTTTGCCTCCCTGCTGTCCCTTCAGACCCTACAGCCTGTCAGTCCCTTACTTAGCAGTACAAAAGTATCTGCTGATAGCCAGCTTTCCCAAGTCTCTCATTTGGGACTTTGGAGGGCCTACTGGGTTTCTTTTGTATTTCCTTCAAGCCCCTCCCTCCATTCCTCCTTCCTTCCCCACTGCTTTCCTCCTACCTCCAGTTGGGCAGACAGGGCAGGATCAAACGTTTATTTTATCATAATTTCAGGGCCATTAATCTCATGTCCAGAGGGGCTTGGCGCCAGCCTTCAGGGTCCTCCCTGCATGACCTCTGTGGGTGGGTGTCTGGGTCTGGGGTCTGGAATGGGTTTCAGTGGTGCTCTTGGGGGCATGGGTCTGGGTGGCCTTCTTCAAGAGTCTTTAAGTTCATATTGGGAGGGTGCCCAGCTGGCCTCTGGGGCCTGTCCAGGGATCAGTGATTCAAAGGATATGAACGTGTTCTGTGAATACTGCTCCTCCCCCATGTCTCCCACTTGAGAAATCGGTCTTCCTGAGGCCAGAGCATGGATGACCTGATAAAGAAGAGTGACTACTGACACCAGACCTCTGGGGACAATGTAGAGTTGGTCCAGTGACTGGAAATTGATTTCAGCTCTGAAGTTTCTAGAGGACAAGACTGGGGGAGGAGATATTTGTCCATTGCTTAGCTTTGAACCCCCTCAGTGAGGGCCCTAGAGCAGAGCGGTTTGGCAGGACCTGGGCCAGAAGAGGGCATCACATTCCCTGGAACTGGAGTTAGGGACAGTTGTTAGCCATTTTGTGGGTGCTGGAAACCAAACCCAGGTCCTCTGTAAGAGCAGTCTTCACCTCTGAACCATCTGTCCAGCTCCTATTATCTTCTTTAAGACATTCATTTATTGTCACCCTGGGCCTGTGGCAACTGCCAAACAACTTGGGCTCCAATAAGCCCCTTCAGAATTTATCCCAGATGCTCTTCTGGAAGCCAGTCCAGTGGCCTCACTCCCCTGGGCAGGATCTCCAGGGACTCCTTACAGCCAAGGCATGAGCCAGGCTCAACAGGACACCTGACTGTCCTGTCCTCTCCTCCATGACTGGCCCCCAGCCAGCCACTCCTTGTGTCCCATTTTGTACAGAGCTCCTAGACTGGAGAAGCTGTTCTTGGCTTCTGTGCCCAATGCCAGTCTTGCCTGTGATGTCCTTTTCCTCATCTGTCTGACTCTGCCCCTTACCCATTGTGGAATGCTAAGCTCCTTCTGGAAGCCCTCGTGAACTCCTGCCCCAGTTTCCTCCTGGGATCTGTTGCACAGCCACCATCTCCTCTGAGACTCTAGGCTTTTTAAATGTTTTTTTTTTTTTTTTTTTTTTTTTTTTTTTTTTTATCACAACTATACATAGCTGTCACAGCTCCAAGCACTTTATCTTCAAGGTGAATCCAAAATCAGTGTGGGGATTAAACCAGGGTGAGGGTTTCTTCTCTTTAGGGCAGCCAGTTCTGCTCAAACATCTCCTATCTAGCCTGAAGAAGAATTGCTTCCTGTGAACCTGAAGAAAACATCGGGGCCTGTCAGCTGGGAGGACAGTAGAGTAGCAGCCACACAGAACATCCCAGAAGGGTTGACCCTAATTCATGACAAGGTAATTTCCTTCTCAGTGGAGCCAACCTATGTTATAACCTTGACCACAGTGGCAGAACCCCACTGTTATGAACTCATTTAATCCTTTTCACATCCTTGCAAAGCTGGTACCCCAGCTTTGATTTTAACTGGTAACCCTCAGGTTCATAGAATGCAGCTCCCTAGGGATCTTGTGCCTCTATGCAGGGATCAGGTGTTTTGCAGGTTGCAGGCCTTTCCTACCATTACTTTCTTGACTCCTCCCACCACTTATTGGGGTCTCCATTATTTACCATGGGTGTGAGATGAGAGAAGGTCACCCAAGGTCACAGCTGGGCAAGGCTGGGTGGAACCCAGACAGGCTGATCCACCAGGCTACCATTACCCTTTGACCTTACCGCTCTCAAAGGTGAGGCTATGGGATGCAGGGCTGCCTGCCAGTGTGAGGCCTGAGAATAGGTCTGTGGCTCAGCCCAGCCATGTTTGCACACTGTTGTATTTGGGCCCTGCTTTTAGCAAGCAGCACCATTCTCTTAAAATGCAGATACAGCCACCCAGGGAGCAGGGCGCCAGAGGACATGATGCCTATGAAATGGATTTGTCAACTGGAAGCAATGCACAGTCAAAAGGGGTCCTGGAGGACAAGGCTAGTCCATCAGGTGGCCAGAGGGAGCCAGGTGTCTCAGCTGGTGACTTAGAGAATGATTACCAGCCTGGATTGTCTCTGAGAACTTGATTCTGATGTAGGCAGAGCGGAGTGGCAATCTCACTGCTGACTGGTGTGCGTGTGTGTGTGTGTGTGTGTGTGTGTGTGTGTGTGTGTATGGTTCAGATGGAGGTCTCACGCAGAATGGGCTTTTTCCCATCCAGGTGGGGAAAAGGCTTACACCAGAAGGCAGCTCATGGTCTTCATGGCTTTCCTACATGCTACAGAGATCAGGAGCCCTAGAGATGACCCTGTGGTGGCAGAGAGGGCAGAGCCAGGCAGCTGGGCACATGGGAAGCAGCCCTAAGGAATAAGCTGCTTGGAGCCCACCAATAACCCAAACTGGGTGTTTCTGGGAGTTCCCCTCCATCCACAGCAGTGATGCTTCACACCTGACTTTCCTGAGGCCCTGCCCCTGCCACTCTGAACAGGAAGGAGGCAGATGGACACCAAAGGAGTTGTTTGCAAAGGGTGAACCACTTTGGCCCACTGTCCCCTCCATATGCACACATCAATTTTAATTTTATTTATGTATATATTTACTTTGAATTTTAATTTTTATTTATTTTTATTTTATGTGTATGAGTAAATATACACATATACACAAAAAATAATAAAATAACACAGGAAGTGGACAGTGGCAGGAAGTAGTTGGAAATATGGATGACATAAGAATGGCCCTAGATTTCTTCATTCTTGAAGCTAAGTGATAGATGAGTAAGAGCTCATAATGTCATATTCATTCTTTTTTGTATACATTTAAACTTTTCCACCGGGCATGGTGGCACACACCTGTAGTCCCAGCACTTGGGAGGCAGAGGCAGGCAGATCTCTGTGAGTTCAAGGCCAGCCTGGTCTACATAGTGAGTTCCAGGCCAGCTGGAGCTGCAGGGGGACTCTGTCTCAAAAAGGGGGAAAAAAAAATACACCTTTTCCATGCTGTTTATTAAAACTGCAAAGGGTTGCTGACAGAGATAATCAAGAAGTCCTATCTTACTTTTAATCCTGCCACTTACCTTGTTAAGTAATCATATGCAAATATAAATTTCTTTATATGATTATAAATGAAAAAAAGTAAAAACAATGTCTATGGCTGGCAAAATTTTTTAAATTTTGATTTATTTTTATTTTACATGAATGAGTATTTTGCTTGCATGTAAATACACTTGTGTCCATGCAATATCCTTGGACACAGAAGAGGATGTAGGATCCCCTGGAAGTGGAGTTAAGGACAGGTATTAGCCGACATGTGGGTGCTGAGAACTGAACCTGGGTCCTCTACAAGAGCAGCTAGTGCTCTTAACCACTGAACTATCTCTCCAGTCCCTCTGTATTTACTCTTTGAGATAGAATGTAGCCCAAGATAGCTTCAGTCTTGCTATGTAGTGTGTGTAGTGTGTGGTAGAGTGTGGCCTTGCACTATCTGCCCAGTGCTGGGATTACAGGCACAGACCACCATACCCAGTATATGCCATGCTGGGGATAGAAGCCAGTTAGGTACGCATGCCAGGCAAGCACTCTACCAACTGAGCTGCATTCCCAGCCCATTGAGTTTTTACTTCTTTTAGTCCCTGAGTAGAAAATGGACCAAAGAACCCTTCACTTTTACTGAAGACTAAGTCATTATCAGGCTTTACTCTGTGAGGTATTGTTCTAGGTCCTGGGGTCACTTTGCAGAACAAAGAAAAGGCACCACCATGGAGTTTAGAGCTAAGTGACAAAAATGTGATACACAAAAATCCAGAGGAGACCTCCAACTGGACCTGAGCTTACCACACACTTAGTGTATATGCAGGCCTTATGACCAGGACTCCCAGGTGTGTGGGATCCAAGCAGTGAAGCAGAAACAAGGCCAACTCCAGGAGCAGGTGCAGATCTGGCCAGTGGCCCTACCATCAGGAAAGACTAAAGACAGCAAAGAGCCCAGACACAGGCCATTTAGTGTTAAGGCAAAGGGCTTGATGAGCTGCAGAGACTAGGGAACCTGAGCAGACTGGTGATGCTTGTGGGCTTGACTGTGAGTTGACAAGAGGAAGAGGGGCTTATCCAGTAGCATCTGACTGCAGGGAAGAGTGTCAGGTTCCAGGGGAAGGGCTCATCTGAGCAGAAAGCATGGGGCTTCCTTCCTCTCGGGAAACAGGCTTTCTAGAAGGGACTCTTCTTTGGGATGTAGGAGCTGAGAAGGCCAGGCTTCTTACTACTGATTGTATTCACAGCAGGATCCCCAGAGTCTCAGAATGGAGCCTCGCTTGGTCCAACCACTTGTTGAACATTTGCTCAAGGAATGGTGAAACAAAAGTCTGAGGAAGTGAGGGGCTTGGGTCCTTCTTGAATATGGAATAGGAAGCCCCGCTGTACTGTTCTGAGGGAGACCCTGGAGTTGTGACATGGAGAGGCCATTCCTGCCTCCAATTTCAGATGGGCATGCATGCCTGCTCTAACATGTGTCTTCCAAACACTGAGTACTTGACTTTGCAGCCATCCTGTTCTTCTATCTTCCTGACAACCTCCTGCAGTAGATACTGTTATCACCATTGTATATGAGGTGAAAAGAGAAACTGAGGTATGGGGAAGTAAAGTAATTTGCTCAAGGTCACAGAGCTGTAGGACAGAGACGTCAGAATTCAAACACAGGCTCTTTGAAAACATAGGCTGATATACTGTCCTATATTGCCTGCCATGGGTATGCACGTGCACACACATGTGTGGACATGTATGAGGGGAAGGGAAGAGTCATTTATCTCACTCTTGGCCTTTCCTTAGTGTGGCTGGAAGCCACCTTTGTGGTGTCACTGAAAGAATGCCCCCACCCCCATCTACATGCTCAGTGGCTCCAGATTCTAGCTAGGGGAGGGGCTTAGGGATACTGGAAAAGATAAGGGGCAGGAGGTGTCTCATGTTAAAACTGCATTTGTGGATTGGGGATGTAACTCTGATACAGTGATAGAATGCTTGCCTAGCACAGAAATCCTGGGTTCAATCCCCAGCACAACATAAACAGAATTGGCACACACCTGCAATCCCAGCAGTTGGCAGGCGGAGGCAGGTGGACCAGAAGTTCACTATCATTTTCTGCTACATTGTAAGTTTGGGGCCAGAATGGGGTACTAGTGAGACGCTGTCTCAATAAATAAGGAGATAAACAAGAAAATGAATAAAGTTGAAAAACCTGTGTTTGCATAGAATTCCCTCTGCTATTGCTGAAATTGCTTGATTATTTGAGCTGCTTGGGGGCTCCTGGCCTTTCCCAGCTGCACTAGACATGCACACACACACACACACACACACACACACACACACACAGGCTCTCCACTGTATTGCTCTGTCCAACAGCAGGCTCCCCTGTGTCTCCTGGGGACAGACAGTAATCTTTGCAAAAGCCTCCTGGCCAGCATGGATTGGTTTGTCTGGTGTTGCCTCCTTACTCCCCGCTGTCACTTTACCAGAAGGATTAGTTAGAGAGGGCATGTGCTGGGAGATGCAGAATGACAGAGCAGTTATCATGGGGCAGATGGCTCATGAACCTGAAGTTCTGTTCACTCATGAAGAAATTCAGTGTCTGAAAGTCAGGGTTAGGGTTAAGTCTTGCCCTGCTGCACCCTAGCAGCATGATCTCAGGCAAGTGAGATTGTAACTGACCTGGCAGAGATGAAGTTGTTCTAAAGAGACACTTGGGCCTCTCCCTTTAGCTATCAAACTATTGAAACAGTGGGCCCTAAGGAATTGGAATTTTCCCCAGAAATCTCAGGCTTGAAGAAGGAAAAGGATTGGGATGTATGCACTCTCATGGCCTACTTGGGAAGATCTGAGAAACACTTGGCTGGGCTCTGTCCCCCAACCCTGGTTCTACAGGGTAAAGTCCCAGACTCTCAGGGCCGCTGAGGGCTGGAAGAGGAGTGAGGAGTGGCCCTGCAGGATGGGAGGCAGCTGGGAAGCTGTAGCAGCTATGTCCTGGCCTTGTCTGGACCAGACCTACCCTCATAGGGCAGCAGACCCAGAAAGACAGATAGCCTGACAGACATGGAGAAACAAACAGAGAAGAGGCCAAAAAAGAGTTGGCTCTGGGAGACACAGGCAGAACTCTGAGAGAAACAGATCAACAGCCAGAGAGAAGGCTTCAGCACAGCGTGGCTATTGCAACAGGCTCTGGGAGCTCCTTGAAGATTCCAGGCCTAGCTCTGAGGGTGTCTGGATTATTGTTAGTAGGGCTATCCTACTGCCGCCTACTGCCAGCCACCTTCTGGTAGGCTCTAAGAATCCTGGATTTTCTCAGCACTGAGGAGGTGGCAGCTAGGTAGATTGCTCAGGGACCTGAAGTCTTGCTTACCAGTGAAAAAATGAGGTCTAGGGTTGGCCTTGCACTGCTGCATCCTAGCCATGTGCTATCAGTCAAGTGAGGTTGTAACTGACCTGGCAGGCATGAAGACATTCTAAAGAGATACTTGGACCCCTCCTGTTAGCTATCAGAGTATTGGAACAGTGAACCCCAAGAAATTGGGATTTTCCCCTAGGAATCTCATGCTTGGAGAAGGAAAAGGCTGATGCCTGGTGCCAGCCAGAGGGGAAGCTTATTTCCCAGGAAGAGATTTCACACAGTCTGACAACTTGTCAGACCACCTTGCAGAGGGAGACTGGAGCTGAGAGACAGTGGTGGGTGGGATAACACCTTAATAAGGACTGCTTAGCTCTGCATGCCTCTGGCTTTCTGTTTAAACCTAAACCTTATGTCAGTACCTGAAAGATGGACTTAGAAGGGGAGTCACTGGACCTGGCTATATTTACTAAATCTATTTTCTCTGCTCTTCGCTATTACTTAGACTTGTTTAGTTGGCTCAGTGAGGGCCAGACGGTGGAACCTAGCTTGTTAGGGCTGCCAGGACCCAAGCTCTGACTCTAACTCTGGTAACAAGGTAACCATGTAGGCTTTCATTTCTTCATCTGCAAAATGGTCACAGCGATGGCCACCCCTCAACAGTAGTCACTATGAGTGTGTGCGAGGGAACCAAGTGAGGTGTCTGGCACATGGCCATCTTCCAAAAAGGATGGCATTGAGTCTTAATCCCTCACTTCTGTTGTTGGGAAGACCAGGGTGCCAAAGGTAATGCCCCTTGGGAAACAGACTGTGGAGACCCCGATAGCCCTACTAACGGTAATCCAGACCACTAAAGGACGCAGGGAGCTGGGGTAAAGTACTTTAGGAGCTAAGAGGACTGATACATTCGCTCCAGGTCGGGGCTGGTAGGCCTGAGCCCTGAGCGGGTGGGCTACGACAGACTCAACTTCGTGGACTTAGCAGCAAGGTCACAAGCCATACCCACACCATGCCCACCTCCTCCCCGCAGATTCTGCATGTTCATGGGCAGTGTGTCTCCATTAGGCTCCAGAGCCAGTGGTCAGTGAGCAGTGGTCCAAGTTGCCTGGGGCCCAGCTCTACCTTTGACTCATCAGCACAGGGAGGGGTCTCACAGGCCGTTTGCTCTAATCTCCCAACGTCATTTTAGCAACTGTTACTAGGAAAGCTCCTCTGGATATCATTTACTGGCCCTGAGGTTTGGCCACATCATTGATCTCAGCAAATGGAGGGTTTGACCTTCAGGACACAATACCGTCAAGCTGGGAGACCTGGGACCTGTGGGTCACACACATCAGCCCAGAGTCCAGGACAGCGTCCTCCGCTCTGGGGAGCACAGAGAACTGACTTGACAGCACTAGCCGGAGGCAGGGGTTTTCAGTGCTTCCCTCAGGTGAGACAGGATGCTGCCCCAGGGCCTCCAGCCCAGTGCCTGCACTGAGGTACTACTTGGCAGCAACTCAATAGAACTTAATTGGATGAATAGACTCTCCTGGAGGCTGGCTCTCCTGGCTCACAAAGGTTCTGGCCATCATACACATAATTAATAAATGTAAAAGGAAAAAAAGCACAACAACTCATACCTAGAAAGACTCATGGATGGGCCTGAGTGTTTAAGAACACACAGATGCTGTGATGCAGCTTGCATGACGAAATTCCGCTTTTGTAAAACGTTACGTATGTGTATAACTATAGTGATACCACATGGTTGAAAGCAAATTGGTCAAGATGACAGTTGGTTTAAATTGACTGGTTTTGAAACTTTTCAGGCTGTGGCACTACTTGACATTTTCAAACACTGCTTGGTTAAACCAGAGACTCAGCTCTTTGCAGGAACATGGGCCAGAATGTTCCTGCTGTATGCCAGGCCCTGCCAGAGTGGGGCTTGATTGGCTCACTGAATTTTTTTTTTTTTCCGCAGTTGACCTAGAAGGTAGATGTTATTGCTGTGCCTGTTTTAAAATGAGGAAACAGGGCCAACAAGATGGCTTAGTGAGCAAAGGCACTTGCTGTCAAGCCTCACAACCTGAGAGTTCAATCCTTAGAACCAACATCTTGGAAGGAGAAAACTCACTCCTACAAGTTGTCCTCTGACCTATACACACACACACACACTCACACACACACACACAGAGAGAGAGAGAAAGAGAGAGAGAGAGAGAGAGAGAGAGAGAGAGAGAGAGAGAGAATAAATGAGGAAGGGCTGTCAAGATGGCTGTCAGCAGGTAAAGGCACCTGCTTCCAATCTGACAACCCCACACTCACATGGTGAAGAGAACTGACTCCTGCAAATTGTCCTTTGACCCACATATACCCTCCCATCCCATCCCCTGAAAAAATGTAATTTTTTTAAAATGAGAAGACCAAGGTTTGGTTGAAGAGCTTAACCAGCCTGCCAAGAACTTCACGGCCAACTCAGAGCCAAGACAACTCCCACTATGAACCAAGAGCAGCATTTGGAGCCAAACTGACGCCCCCTCCCTGCCACCGCTCCCCCCGCCCCCGCAGCCTACATATTGGTTTACTTAGAAGTAGAAAGGAGAGCTGGGCATGGTGGTGCACGCCTGTAATCCCAGTACTTCAGAGATAGGGGCAGAAAGATCAGAAGTTCAAGGTCATCCTCCACTACTTAGTGAATTCAAGGTCAAAGTGGACTGTATGAGACCCTGCCTCAACTAACAAAAGAACAACAGGCGTGGAAGTTGAAGCTGTGCCTAGCAGCATGGTTCATGGTTCATGTAGAATTCTCTCATATCACTCCATTTTTCTATTTTAATTAAAAATATTTTGTTATTTTTATTTTAGGTGTATGAGTGTATTGCCTGCACTATGTAAGTGCATTGTGTTGTGCAATGCCCACAGAGGTCAGAAGAGGGCATCAGATCCCCTGGAACTGGAGTTCCAGATGGTTGTTAGCCACCATGTGGGTGCTGGAACTCAAACCTGGGACCTCTGCAAGAGCAGCCAGTGCTCTTAATCACTGAGCCATCTCTTCAATCCCTATTTTTCTATTTTTAAAAGATGTATTCCTTTAAAAGTTTTATTTATTTATTTTTGTTTTATGTGACTGTTTTGCCTGCATGTATGTAAATATACTCATGCATGCAGTGTCAATAGAGAGCTTAATTACGTTATTACTTGAGAGAGAGAGAGAGAGAGAGAGAGAGAGAGAGAGAGAGATTGTGTGTATGCCATGGTGCATATGTGCAGGTCAGAGGACAAGTTGCCAGAATTAGTTTTATTCTTCCACAATGTGGGTTCCAGGGATCAAATTTAGGTCATCAGGCTTAGCAGTAAGCCTTTACCTGCTGAGCCATCTCACCAGCTTGAAATTAATTTTTAATGTCTCCAAAGTGGTAGACTTACTCTGCAGGACAAGAAGCAATCAAGGAAAGATGATGGATTTAAGGCCAGGGATGCACAGTAAGCAAGAAGAGAATTGGAGATAAACTGGAAAGGAACTAACAAAATGGCTGAGATTGTTCCAGGGTTACAGGAATTACCAGAAAATTCCTCTCTGCAGGACAGACATAGTTAGACAAATGCTCAATGTTCCATTTGAAAACGGGGGAGCATCCTATGGTAGGAGACAACTGTAGTAAACTCAGTACCTGTGACTGGGAATAGTTGTGCCCTATTCTGTAAGTATTTACTCAATACTTACAGCTGGGGGCTGGGGTTGTGTTCAGTGCTGGGCCACAGCAGTAAACAAATCTGGTCACTGGCCCTCATGGCACTAGTGTTCTGACCCCAGATGAATGGGCAGATGGAAAGGTAACTCCTGTTTGTGATGGGCTTAAACAGTCTGCCACTGACCCAATCACAGCAATCAGACTGGGCACATCAGACTAGCCAAAAGGGATAATGAATAAGTCTTTCTCATCTAATTCATTCCACAGTTCATCTTAGCAGCAGAGCCTGTTTAAAGGGTGTCTTCTGTGTGAGGCTGGAGAAACTCTGAGGATAGACAGCCATCCATCCCTAGAGCTTTAACCTCCAAAGCAGAAGCCGCCCCGCCACCCCCAACCCCCAAATGCCTGAGCCAGGGGGACTCGAGCCCTGGCAAGCTGTGCTCTGCATGCAGGACAGAGGTGGTGGCGTTGCTGTGGGGAGCAATTTCATACTATAATTATGTGTACAGCCCCGATGCATCCCTTGTATGGCAGGTATGTTTGCTTCCTTGCCCTTTGCCACAGCTGACTGATCTAGGGGAGGATATCAACTGAGACCAGACCAATCAGCTTCCTCTGTTGGACTGCCATGGGATGCCCAGAGTTGGGCAGTAGGTGACTAGATGGGAAAGTGGCAGACACCTGCAAGCAGCTGGCTGACTGGCAGCTCCTGGAAGGCAGGGCCACAAGCCCTTTCACAGCCTTAAATAAGCTTCAGAGTGTCAGAGTGGATTTCCACTCCTACTGAGACTAGACCAATCAGCTTCTCTGCTGGGTTAGGCTGCTTAGAGTTGGGCATCAGCTGCTGAGAGTTGAGAGGACTTGTAGCTAGACCCAGGCTGCCCTGGCCACCTTCAAAGTGTGGCTAGGAGAATGGTTCCAGTTCTCCATTCTTTCCCCAGACCATAGTCAAGCTGGACGAGAAAGGAGCTGGGAGCCCTGTCTATGACAGCGGCCCGCCCAGGCGGCCAGCGCCGGGATGACGCGACTGTAAATCATGCTGTGGACCACAGACTCAGTACCATCCCCATGGGTTTCCTTTCCGCTTCTTAATCCTCCTCCTCAGACTCAATAACAAAAAGCAGATCCCTGCTGGGGCCAGCCACGCACAGTGGGCCAGGAGAATGCAAGCCTGGGATTTACCACATCAAGATCCTGCTGGCCTCTCACTTTTCCTTTCCCTCTGCTTAACCACAATTAGCTGGACAGCTACCCGCCTCCCCCTCGGGCGCTCTCACCCTCCTTGGACCCTGCTTCCAGCCTGGCTCAGCCTCTCATCTTGGATCTTGGACCACATCTTGGCTTTGCTCCTGTCGGCGCCCCAGGGCCTAAGAGGCAAGCCACACCAGGGCCTGTGGTTAGCAACCCTCCAGTCTCCTGGTCTGGCTCTTCCCTGCTCACTCTCCAAAGCCTGGCTGCAGCAGGGCTAGCCTCTGTGTGGTAGGAAAAACAGGGCCAATCTGGGTTCAAATCCTGGCATTGTCAACATGTGGCACTTCCTCCTCTTGGCTGTGATGGCTCACTCCTGACTCAGGATGTGAGAAAGTGCTCCGGCATGTCAGGGGTGCTTGACAGATGTTTTGCTTTAATGTTAAGTATTGAGCTATTTGTTTGGGGTTTTTGCAGAACAGGAAGAAGTATTTGCAGCCACTTTGTGCATGGGTGTGCTGTACTAGGGTCTCTGAGTATTTTTTTTTCATGTCCTGAGTGGGTTGTGAGTCTTTTACAAGCCTCTGTACCAGTTCTGACCTTCCACAGACAGCTGATACCCCATAGTGCCTTGACTTGCCCTCCTCTTCTGTCCCTTCTTGAAAGCTTAGGACTTAGAGATGGTCTGACCCAATAGCTCATGGTTCTCAAGATATCTATCCCAGGCAACTCAGTGGAGGGAACATAGTAGAACTCTTGGGTCCTCTGTGTCCTCATTCCATGATGCTCAAATGCATAGAACTCTGTTGGTATGTTTTCTGAGTTTGGATTCCACTCTCATTTCTGCTTAGAAAAAAGTTTGAGAATTATTGACCTGCTTCAGCAGAACCATCTGTCAATAGATGGAAACCTAGGACCAGAGAAGTGACTAATGTTAGGTTACCCAGCTGGTAGGTAATGGGCCACCACTGGAGTAGGCCTCTGGACTCCTGGTGGCATGCTCTTGTCTGAACAGAGCTGGGGAAGGAGCCATGGACAGTCATTCCAGTGAGGACCAACCAGACTGGAGGGAACACATGGGTAGGAGCAGGGCTGACTCTGACATCCCTCAGAGGTATGAGTCTGGGGTTCATAGTGTCAGTACCATGTCCCTGAGCTTCAAAGAGGTTGCTTTTCTCCAACAGACCAGCCATATAGTAGAGTTAGAAGAGGTGGAGAGAGAGGGGACAATATGGACATTAGAGATAGCCAATCTTGGATCCAAATATGGCCCTACTGTTTATTGAACCCCTAACTGGGCAGTATGGGTCTGATGTCCCAACCAGGACAGCTATGACAACTGAGAGGATGTCTGAGTGTCAATATTCAGCTTAAGAGTGAATAAGGGATGCTCCTGATGGATGATGATTTCTTTCAGGAGTGACCGGCCATGGGCTAGACCAAGGACGCTGCTGTGGGTCTCGTCCAAGTCGGACCCGAGGAGAAAGAAGCTGTGTTCATCAAGTCAGCCTCATCGCTGCCTTCTCCAAGATGCTACCAGACACTCGGCCCACCTCTCAGGGTCTCCCAAGGACCAGACGGGGGCAGCCTTCCTTCCTCTTACCCTCTTGCTGTCCCCAGCCATCTGAGGTTACTTCAAATTTTGCCCTCTGCCTGGTGAGGAAGGAAAGTGTAGCTGCAGAAGTTCATTGCCAAAGATTCCTTAGAGATGCTCAACAGAATAACAGGATGAAGCTGCACGGTGAAAAGCCACACTGCTGCTGTCTGACTGGGTCCCAGCTAATGCCAAAGATGGGTCAGCACTTCTGCCAGGAACTCATGCAAGGGGTGGACATTTGGTGGCCTCCAGAAGCACTTGATCCTCTGAATTGGTGCTCTGTCTGCACTGGCTCTGAGCTGGCTGGGTGCAAGACAAGCCTACTAGGGCTAGTGAGAGGCAGGCTAGGTGCCTGGGAACGGTGGAGGGTGAGGTCTGAGGTAGCCTCTTCCCATTAGCTACCCAGATCTCTGATCCTGATTCTCAATATTCTTTGAGTCTTGTCTCTCTCTTGAACTCCGCACTTCCTGAGATTGGAGGAAGTCGGGGAGGGAGAAGCAGTATGGCCCCATCTCCCACCCAGAACATGTCCTAAGACAACCTATCTGAGGGTCTTTGTTCCCAGAGCCTGCCCTGTGAACTGCCTCTCATCAGTGGCCCCCCTCACAACAGCAAACAAGATAGCACTCTTCTGGAAGCCAGTGGCCTGTGGACAGGCAGGGCAGGAGGGCCCAAGGAGGAAGGGACCAGGGGAACGGATCAGTATGTGGGAAGGCGGCACGTTCAAAGCCAAGGCCTGCTCCTTGTGCTCAAAAGGCCAAAGCTGTTCACATCTGTGCCCAACCATCTGCTTCAAATTGAAGTAAAAGTTCCAACATGTAAAGAAAATGCTTGTCTGTGTTGAGTGGACTCTGTGGGTGAGCAGAATGTTGGGCAGTCAGCTGGGGAGTTGTGAGGGAGGGGGTGGGGAGCCCTTCAAGGGCAGTGTTGGGGGCGCACCAATAGCCTCAGGCTGGACTAGAGCTCAGGAAGGTTGAGCAGGTCATGTAAGAAGCTTTCTCCACTCTACCCTTTACTACTGCGAGTTTTGGGAGATGAAGGCTGCTACTAATACCATTTTCCAGGTGAGAAAAACAAAGGCTCCAGGAAACGGGGCCAGTCACCAACAGAGCCAGTTCTTTAATCCGGATGGCCTAGCACCAAGTCCTGTGCTCTCAAACCCTTTCCAGTTCCATCATTGGTCCTGGCACAAAGTCTCTGGGTGGCCTTGTCACTTTCCTTTACCTCAGTGGGCCATTCTGACATAGGGCCAAGAGTGGGGAGGGGAACACAGTAAGAAAGGGCTGTCCAGTATTAGAGACAGGGCTGCCCAGGCTCAAGAGGCTGCAGCATGCTTCACTCCATGCCATACTCTTCTCTCCATTCCACAGACCCCTGGACTGGCTGGGATGTAAGTAGGAAGGTCCCAGGGGCTGACACGGAGGAACAGAGCCATGGCCAGGGCTGAGCTGCAGAAGAGCGAAGCCCAAGTACTTGTCCATGGTCCTGGGCAGAGACAGGGTACAACTGCTTAGGTTAAAACACGCATGCTGGGGTTTAAGAGATGTCTCTGGCAGTTAAGAACACTTGCTGCTCTTTGCAGAGGACCCAAGTTTTGTTCTTAGCACCATATCAGGCAGCTCACAACCACCTTTAACTCCAGCTCCAGAGATCCAATGCCTCTGGTGCCTTCTGGTATCTGTACTCGTGTGCACATACCCACATGCAGATACCTATTCATACATATAATTAAAAATAAAATAAATATTTGAAAAAAAAGAGACACAGGCCTGTTGTAGGCTTCTCCATATCTCCAAAGTCTCCAGTTTCCACCCAGCTTGACCTTTTGGGGTGCCGCTGAGTCCTGGCCTAAGACTATCTTTCCAAATCATGTTCCTGTTTCCTTTTCTGTGGTTATCCATGGAGAAAGGTTCTTTCTGGATCTTTATGCTTTAGGCAATGGAAAAAGTTTCTTTCAGATCTAAGTTTCTTTGCATGGTATCCCACCAGGCCCCTGGCTCCCCCGGGAACTCTAGTTCTCTTAGTCCCTGGGGCTCACAGAGAGGCCAGACCTATTCCAGCCACAATGACCTAGGTGCATGCCCTCCCATCCTAGGGCATGACTTTCCTTTCACGTATAAATAGAAACAGCTCTCTACCCTGTGTCCCAGGGAAAGCTCAGCCCACTCAGATCCCAGATCTCTGACAATTCTTAAGGGTCTGACATCCCAAAATCTCTGCCTTTGGTCTTTTGGGTCAGCTGTCTGTCAACTCCCTCAGCTATCTCTCTTGACCAGCCTTTTCTCTGCCCTGTGTCTGCTGGAGTGGACACAGCCACCTCCCTCACTGACCCTGAAACATGGTTCATATAAGGTGGTGGTGTGTAGAGAACTTATTTTTGCTGTCTTGATAAAGTTATAACATTTGAAAATTCACAAACAAGCAGGGCATTGCCTTTGACTTCGCAATTTATGGAGCTATTTTCATTTACTTTTGACAGCTTCATCATGTTTCTGGCAGTTATAATTTCCCCCTCTGGCTTCACTGCTCGACGCTACATTTCTGGGCTGTGACTCATACTAAAGTTGTCCTACAGCTGGCACTAAAATCCTTTTTTTTTTCTTTATTTTGATGTCCTCTCCTGCCCACCCCTTCCCTAGTCACCACTGAAACTGGACCAGAAAACATGTGACTATCAGGTATGATGACCGGTAGATGGACCAAGAGCAGGGAGGACAGCCTGGCTAGTCCCCTGCCTCAGCTGAGTTGAGGACCTGGGTCTTGTCTCCTGGAAGATTGAAGTTTCCTCTGTACGAGTTATGTTACTGACCCCAGGTGCCCTGTACTCAAGACTGGTCCATAGCAGCAGGGGGCCACAGGGGGAAGCAAGGGACAGAGCAGAGGCTGCCCCCTTCCTGAAGGCGGGCACAGCGAAGACCATGCCCCAAACCATTTTCAAAGCCATCTGGCCCACAGACAGCATGCTTTCATCCTTTGGGATTGCATTTCCAGTCTCATAACCAGAAGTTGCCAGAAAATTCCCCTTTCGTGTACACACAGGCACGTAATACACACACATACTTTTTTTTGCCGTGTGTGTGTGCGCGCGTGCGTGCGTGCGTGTGTGTGTGTGTGTGTGTGTGTGTGCAGGCCAGAAGAAGGTATTGGGGTGTGCTCTGTCACTTTCTACCTTGTTCCTTTGAGGCAGGGTTTCCACTGAACTTGGACTTGCAATTTGTTTGTTTGTTTGTTTTGGCTCGACTGGCAGCCAGCAAGCCCCAGTGATCCTTGTCTCTGCCCCATTCAGTGCTGGGCTTGTAGGCATGCTGGACCATGCCCAGCATTTTTATGTGGGTGCTGAGCTCCCAACTCCAGTCCTCATGCTTGCACAGCAAGCTTTCTGAACTACTATGCTATCTCTCCAGCCCTGCACATACTTTTTTTTTTTTTGAGACACGTTCTCCCTGTGGCCCCAGCTGTCTTGACACTCACTATGTAGACCAGGTTGGCCTCGAACTCACAGAGATCTGCCTGCCTCTGCCTCCTGAGTGCTGGGATTAAAGGCGTGTGCCACCATGCCCGGCCTCATACTTTTTCTTTTTTTTAAGAAAGAAAAAGAGCTAATGGTCTAGGGGTGTAGCTCAGTTGGTAGAGTGCTTGCCTAGCACATCCAAAGCCCAGGGTTCAATCCCCAGTACCACATGAAACCAGATGTGGTAGCTCATGCCAGCTCTCCATAGGTGGAGACAGAGGGATCAGAAGTTTAAGATAATCCTTAGCAACATAATGAGTTGGAGAAAGCCTGGGCTGTATATGAGACATTGTCTAGAAAAATAATAAGATGCTGGGTATGGCGGCACACGCCTTTAATCCCAGCACTTGGGAGACAGAGGCAGGCAGATCTCTGTAAGATCAAAGCCAACCTGGTCCACTCAGAGAGCTCCAGGCTGGCTGGGGCTACAGGCAGACACTGTCTCAAAAAAATTTAAATAAATAAAAACAATTCTATTCTGAGTCTGGGGATGTAGCTCAGTGGTAAAGTGTTTGCTTAGCATGCATGTCCTTAGATTCCATAGGACACTTGGCCTTGCTGGGCCTGACAACCTCAGCCTTGACATGACCTTCCGGGGTTATCTTCCACGGCTTGTGGAACAGGACTGGACAAGACTGCCTGAGGGAGCAGTAGGCTAGGAAGTCATAGTTCCCTTGAGTAGCCTCATGAGTCCTACCTAGTCCTATGGCTGTTGTGATGACTGTCTTTCCCTGTTGGCACCTCCCTTAGAGAGTCATTTGTGGGAGCAGACATGGAGACCAATGGCCTAAGGGGTCCTTCCCCTGGAAGACACCATGGCCCTCTAGCAAGTGAGGTGACAGAACTGAGCCTCCAGTGACATGGGACCACCCTGGGTCCTTCTGGGAATCTGAGGGCCTGGTGTCATCATAACCATATTGACCCTCTTAAGCACAAGCAGGCATAGCCTATGACCTCTGGGATCTCCTTATCTAGGTTCTGTCCCACCCAGGTCTCTAAATTATGCCCCCATGGAATTTGAGGTCCATCAGTTCTCCCAGATGGCTTCTGCTTCTGTTCCTGAGACATTAGCTTTTGAGCAAAGAACTACATGAAGAAGCAAAAAAGACTGTCCAGAGCTGTTAGAACAAAAAAGAACAGAACATCTCTGGAAGAATTACAAAGGAATGTTCACCCTGGGGAGATGACTCAGCAGATAAAGGTGCCTGCCACTAAACCTGACAACCTGAGCTCGACCCTCGGGTCCCATATGGTGAAAGGAGAGAACTTACTCATGCAGGTTGTCCTCTGATCTCCACACATGCATGCAAAAGCATTCAAGTCCCTCTAAACAAACAACAAAATAGGAATAATTATTTATTTATTTATAGGTATTATTTATTTATTTATTTTGATGTGTATGAGTGTATTGCCTTCATGTATCTAAGTGCACCATGTTGTACAATGCCTGTGGAGATCAGAAGAACATTGGATACCCTGGAACTGGAGTTACAAACAGTTGTTAGCTGCCATGTGGGTGCTGGGAATCAAACCCAGGACCTCTGTAAGAGCAGCCAGTGATCTTAACCATTGAGCTATCTCTCCAGGCCCCCAAACAAGAATAATTTAAATGCTCATACTTCTATTATGGATGAAGGTCACCTCCTCAAACCCAAGACCTCAACCTCTATACCCTGTGGACCTCCTTTAACTCTGTCCTTCTTCCCCATAGCTCAGTGACTTGCATCTTTGGCCTCCTGGTTCAGTCAGGTGAACCAGGGAGCAAGGAATGTACCTTACACTTGTCTCCCCAGGACAGGACAAGAGCACTGAGGTTCAGAACTGCATGCCCAAACCTCAGGAGCACCTCCTACTCTCTGGCTCAGTAAGGGGCTGCAGGGTGAGCCCACAGGATCCTGCCCACACCACGCTACTCAGGCTTTTTTGACCTACAAAGCCTGGTGGAGATTCAGGGCAGGGCACAGAGGATAAAGGAGGCTGTATTCTAGGCATGGAATGAAAAAGCACTGGAAACTGGCGAAACACACAGTAAGGAAAACCCCAGGAAGTGTCCCACTTTTCTAGCTCAAAGCTATTTAGAGGGCCTGTCTGTCCCAGGCCCATAGGCTACCTGAAGGTCTGCCTTTTCATGGAGTTCCATCTCCCTCTCCCACCTAGACTGCGCTATTCTCAGCACCTCTTCTCCCCTTTCTACAAGCCCTCTCTCCTCACACCCAGGCCTCTCTGTCCTTCCTCTTCCTCTCTCTGGGGCCATTTTGCTTTCTCTTGATCCTTCTTGACCCTCCCAGCCTGGTCTCCACAGAGTCTGGATGTTGTTGGCTGTGTGTTGTCATCAGTGCCAGAGACCCCGGTGTAGGTTCTCAGCCCTGCCACTCACTAGATGGGTGACCCTGGACAAATCATTCCCTCTCTGAGCCTGTTTCTGCCTTTGTAAAATAAGTGGTTGGAAGATGGAATAACAAAGTCTCTTCCAGCACCATCATTCTATCTTGATAGATAGTATCTGCCCACTTACCACCAGACAGTTAAATTTCAAGAAATTTACAA